TGTGTCACTTCTGCCTAGTTCTGCCTGGTTGATTTTGTTTCTTATTATGGGTTCTATTCTCCTGCTTCATTACATGCCTGGTAATTTTTTATCTGATGGTAGACATTGTGACATTTCAGTTGCTGGCTTGGAAACTCTGAAGGCAGGAAGCTGGGGCGATCGTAGGGCTTACTTGTTGCCCATCTCAGAGAATGCTGTTGTTCATCGCCTCATATACACGGTCTTGAAAACCACTATTTCTTATACCTCTTTGTCTCTGGTTGTTTCGGGCAGGAAGGTAAATTGGCTGGAAGCTTAACTGCCATTGTGATTATTTTTTAAATGCTTAGCCAAGGGCACCCTTCTTATGGAGAGCTGTCAGCGTGACTCAGACCTTACTTCCCAGATGCACGGCCTTCAGTTCCAGGGAGCCACCTTCTGTTGTGTCCAGGATAGATGAAATGGGGTCATGGCAGAGGTCATACCTGGCACACTGTGGGAAATAGCCTCCAGGGGATGCAGATAGTCTGAAGCATATTCAGAAAAGTGACACGGAGAAAGGGAGACTTAGACCATTTTCGAAGGAACACCAGTTAAATTGACACAAGGATGTCAGGCCACGAAAGAAATAGACTCAGGAAAATAATGTGCCCTTTATTTGTCTAAAGGGCAAGTGCAAAGGCAGGCCTAGGACCCATAGATGAAATGTTAAAAGAGATGGATGGTCATATGGGGATGTGGTGACCATCCCGTCACTAGAGAAGTTCCTGCTTCATGCTCCTTATCGTGGGACCTTGGCTTCCTGTGTGCCCTTGGCTATGGGGGCTTCAGTAGCATGTCTGCGTTCCACAGAAGGAGGAGCTTTCCTGAGAGCCTCACTCAGGGACTTCTGCTCACACCCCACAGGCAGAGCTGTGTCCCTCTAACTGGGTGGGGACACAACGTCACTCCCAACAAATCAGGGTTCCATCATCATGGAAGAGGGAGAGGATGCACATCAGGCAGGTCACCAGCTGTGTTCTCTGCAGGAGAGGAGACAGAGGAACAGGTTTTGGCAGGAAGATTTGGGCAGTGTTGAGTTTGAAGGGCCTGAGACAGAGGCAGATCTTGTTAGGAGGCACGTGGAGTCAGGATCTGGAACTGCAGAGGCAAATCTAGATGGGGGGCAATCTTGGGTCTTGTTGATGTGTAGTGAGAAGTAGAGGCAGCAGGGAAAGGATCAATAGACAAGGCTGGGAGGACCAAACTCAGGCATGACAGCATGGGCGGTGGTGGCTCCTAAGGCTGGTCTGTGGACCCTGGTGCCCCGAGATGGTCTCAGGGGTACGCAGCACTTAAACTGCTTTCATCCCGGCACTAAGATGTTATGCACCCTTTCCACTTACTGCTGGTGCCTAAGCATCAGGGTGGAAAACCTGCTGGAGCCTCAGCATGTGTTAGGGCCATGGCACCAAACTGCCCTCGTGGTCACTGGATTCTTTATCACCACGCACCTGCAGCAAAAAATAACTTCAGAATTTCAAAATGCTGGTTTCACTTAAGTATGCCCTTGATGAAGCTGTAAAAAGTACCAATTTGAATGAACAGTTGCTTCTTTTATGAAACACCATTTCTTACTTGAAAGGATGATGAACAAGCCAACTCTGGTTATTCGAACTTGTGCGTTTGGCAAAGACACTTCCACAAAAAGTTAAAATGAACCTGTCACATCAAGGAAAATAATTGACAGTATTTGCTGTCAGTGATAAAATTAAAGCTTTCTAGTGAAAATCTGAATTTTAGAAAACTTGTATCCACCACCATGGTCTTGACCAATACTTAGAACTGTTTCTGATGAAATGCACGGTGATATGAGCAAGTGTGATTTTAAAAATATTTATTGTAATGTGTCGGCATTTAGATCCGTATAATATGATGAACCAGTATTTTCCTGGTGACCAATACATCGTGTTCAAACTTCTGTGTTAGTAAAGGATCCAGTCCAAGTGTTAGACCAGTCTATTTTAATGTAGCAGAATATTGAAAAATTGACTGATACAGTTTTGGATTTCACATTGCAATTAACCTTTAAGAAACAATCCCTTGTCAAGGCTTAGGAAAACATCAAAGAAGAATATCCACAATTATCTGGAGAAACTTCTTCCTCCCCCAGCTTCCTGTCTGTGTGAGGACACATTTTCTTCATATACCACAGGTAACACGATCCATTGTAATAGACTGTATGCACAGCAGGTGTAAGAATCCAGCTGTCTCCTATGAAACAAGGCATTAAATCGATCTGCAAAAATGCCAAACAGTGATTCAGTAATAATTTCTCTTTCAAAAAGGTAACTTATTTGTAATGGAAAAACCCTTGAGACATTTCCAGTAAGATGAGAACCAAGGCAAGAATGCCCACTCTCTGCCACTCTTCAACATTGTAAGAGATACTAGCCCATCCCGTTAGAGAAATCAGAGGCAAACACGTGTACAAAAGAAGGAAACTACTTCTTTTCAGTTAAGGCTAACACACCTGCAGAAGCCCAGTGGGCCAGTAATAAAACTAACTGAAATAGTAAAATAATTTAGTGAAATAGCACAACACAGTATTAACATACAAAACCCAATAGTCCTCCTATACATAAACAATAAACAGAAAGTATAATGGTAGAGGAAACCCCATTGACTATAGCAACAAAAATGATGGCAGGCTTAGGAATAATTTTAATAAGTATGCAAAATACAAGTATATGTGAGGAAAATTTTTAAATGCTCCTGAAAGGCACAAGAGCAGCCTCAAACAAATGGGAAAACATCCCCTGTTCTTGGGGAAGACAATTCAGCATCATAAAGATGTCAGTTCTCCTGACGTTAATTTATAAATTTAATGCAAGCCAAATAAGAAAACCAGCAAGTTCTCTGATGGAGTTAAATAAGATGATACTGAAGTTAATGTAAAAAAAAAAATATATATATATCTAAGAAAACACTGAAAAACCGTAAGAGAGTAACAGCCCTACAGATACTGAACCCTACCATAAAGCCTCTATAATTAAAATTGCATAATATCGATGCTTAATAGACAACTGGCCAGTAGAATAGAAGAGAAAGTCCAGAATTATCTCCAAATACATGTGGGGCTTTAGTATGTGATAAAAGGGGACACCTCGGGTCACTGCACTGTGAACAGAAGTGCCGTGGACAGCCATTCTGTTAAAGGTAAATTAGATCTGCATCTCATGCCCGACACGAGAATAGCTTCACGTGGATTAGGGAATGTATGTAAAAAGCGAAAGCATGAAAGTGTCAGAGGAAAACACAGGTGAAACCTTGGTGTAGGAAATGGCTTTCTAGGACTCCCTCAAAGAGATTGCTGGTATTTTAATAACAAACGTAATACAAGAGAAGATTGATAAATCCGACTACATAAAAATTATAAAGTTGTTCAATCACCAGAAGCAAAGTCAGAAGACAGGAGACCAACTAGGAGAACATATTCACTACAAGGACTCAATATCCCTTAATATGTGACGAGCTCTTGAAAATTGAGGGGCAAAGGACCAAAATCCCAACAGGAAAATGGGGATGAGACAGAACAGACAATTCATTGAAAGACAGGATATAAAAATGGTCCTCGCACACATGAAATAATGTTCAAATCCATAACGAGAGAGAAATGCCAATTTAGACAATACCGGAAAAATTAAACAGTGTGACAGTCTATTCTGACCGAGACAGCGGGGAAATAGGCCTCGCGGACCCTGTTGTTGGGAAAGCAAACCGGTACACCCCTTCTGGAGGGAAATTTGGCAACACTTGACAAAACTACCTATTTTCCTACTTTGCAGCCCGGCCATCCCACTTCTGGGATAGGTGTATCTCTGGGCGGATCTGCAGGTACACTTCCAGTCACTGGAGAATACACAGGCACGACATGAGAAACACCCGAGTGCTCATAGGAAGGTGGTTGAATGAGCCCTCGTACACGCGACACTCTGTGAATAGTTAGGGAGTGCGCTCCAGGACGCGCTGTTAAGTGAAATAAGCTAAGCCCCAGAGAGTATGTATGGCACCCAGCCCTTCGTAGTAGAAAGGAGAGAAGGTAAGAGAATATACAGATATATGCTCCTTTGTGCAAAAAAAAAGAACACCGCAAAGATAAAGCAGAAACTTCGGGGACTGGTCACCTACGGGGCTGGATGGGACAGTGCAGGTGTGGACAGAGGGACAGTGCTCTGGCTCCTAGAACCACAGTCGTGTTTCCTGCCACTCCACGGTCTGCAGCGATGGGCTCCCGTCGTGCTTGTGCGGTTCTGTCCCTGGGAGCCTTTGTGATGTGTTAGGCAGGGGGAAGGGTGCTTGCTTCCCACAACTGTTAGAACCAACTGCAGCTGCTTGAGAACCTTGCACCGTGAGCAGCCCTATGCCAGGCCCCTGCTGCACGGAGCGGAAGACTCTTTCCTGACCAAGGAACACGGGGGATTGTTTAACCAAGTCCTGGTTTTCTTTTCTTTTTTTTTTTAAGGATTTTATTTTTAAGTCATCTCTACACCCAATGTGGGACTCGAACTCACAACCCCGAGATCAAGTGTCGCAGGCCTCACCGACTGAGCCCGCTAGGCGCCCCCGTAGAGCGCTGGTTTTCAGTGCTCAGTACCCATCACCTGTTTCTCCTTTCTAGCCCTTGTAAAGGAAACATTTACATAACCAGAAATGCCCGCTTACACTTCTTAGCTATAAAGATTTCCTAATGTTTTGGCCAAACCTTGCAAGATGAATAATGGGCATTTCTTCTTCCGTGAGTTCCTGTGCCCTGTGCCCAGATGCAGATGCGACGGCCCGGGAAGGTACCAAAGACGTCAGGCAGGGAGAGGGGAGCGGGACAGGAGCGGGCACCGGTTAACTCACTGGCTACCTTCCAGACCCCGGGTGGTCCGCATGGATCTGTATTTTGGATTGCACAGATAAAACCCAGGGCGCTCTTGCCCCTTTGCCACCCACCTTGGGCACTTAGTGGATGACGCTGGCTTTTCTCTTTCCAGGAATGACCATCCCCGAGGAGGACGCTGAGGTGGGACAGGGCAGCAAGTACTGCCTCGTGGCAATCGGAAGACTGCAGGTGAGGCCGGCGCAGCTCTGTGCGGGTGCAGACGGGGCTCCTGAGGCCAAGGGTGCGACTCTGCGGGTTCAGACAGGGCTCGTGGGGCTGGGGGTGTGACTCTCTGTGGGTTCAGACGGGGCTCGTGGGGCCGGGGTTGCGGCTCTCTGCAGGTTCAGACGGGGCTTGTGGGGCCAGGGGTACAACTCTCTGCGGGTTCAGACGGGGCTTGTGGGGCTGGGGGTGCGACTCTCTGCGGGTTCAGACAGGGCTCGTGAGGCCGGGTGCAACTCTCTGCGGGTTCAGACGGGGCTTGTGGGGCTGGGGGTGCGACTCTCTGCAGGTTCAGACGGGGCTCATGGGGCCAGGGGTGCGACACTGTGCGGGTTCAGACGGGGCTCGTGAGGCCGGGTGCAACTCTCTGCGGGTTCAGATGGGGCTCGTGGGGCCGGGGGTGCGGCTCTCTGCGGGTTCAGACGGGGCTCATGAGGCCGGGTGCAACTCTCTGCGGGTTCAGATGGGGCTCGTGGGGCCGGGGGTGCGGCTCTCTGCGGGTTCAGACGGGGCTCGTGGGGCCGGGGGTGCGACTCTCTGCAGGTTCAGACGGGGCTCGTGGGGCCAGGGGTGCGACACTCTGCGGGTTCAGACGGGGCTCGTGAGGCCGGGGGTGCGACTCTCTGCAGGTTCAGACGGGGCTCGTGGGGCCAGGGGTGCGACACTCTGCGGGTTCAGACGGGGCTCGTGAGGCCGGGTGCAACTCTCTGTGGGTTCAGATGGGGCTCGTGAGGGCGGGTGTGCGACTCTCTGCAGGCAGAACCACCTCAGTGTGGATGTCCCCTTTCCAGGTGACCAGCTCTCCCGTGTGTATGGACATGAGCGGGATGTCGGTGCCCACGGAGTTCTTATCCCGGCATAACTCTGATGGGATCATCACGTTCGTAGACCCGAGATGCATCAGTGTGATCGGCTACCAGCCCCAGGTAGGTGGTTCTGAGCTCATGGCAGTTGGCTAGAAATTTAACTTTCCTTAAAACGCACTTCTCTCAATTGTTCGAGATCCAGCAGAATGATGGTGTAGGGGACATGGCATAAAAATCCAGATTCCTGCCCGGAGAGAGTCATGTCCTGCCAAAGCAAACATTGGGTTCAGCTGCCCTGCTTAACAGTAACTCTTAGTTTTGTCCCTAGCCCTCCTGTCTGTCTGCCGGTTGCACACAAGGCAGACTTAAACTCTGTGAGAACGGGGCTCTCGCATCAGTTAACTCAGATGAACACCAGACAGGACGCCTCCTTCTTGCAAACTTAAAAAAACAATATTAATGCGATAGACTCTGAAACGTCTTGAGAAAAGATGTTCACTTAATTTCGCCTAATCCCTTGTTCTCAAATGTATTTGAAACCTGCATCTACAGGGGCATCTTTTCAGGTCTTTGTTCCAGATCTTTTTTTAAAAAGTCAGCATCATAAGAAACACTAAAAGGCAGGAGAAATTAATCTAGATTAAAATAAACCAAAGAGAGGGGCGCCTGGGTGGCTCTGTTGGTTAAGCATCTGCCTTCGGCTCAGGTCATGATCCCGGGGTCCTGAGATTGAGTCCCACATGGGACTGCTTCTCCCTCTGCCGCTCCCCCTGCTTGTGCTCTCTCTCTCTCTCTGTCAAATAAATAAAATCTTTAAAGAAATAATAATAAGCAAAAGAGAGAAAAACCACAGTATGCAGTGTGAGAGCCTTCGTTGGGTCCTGGAGCTGAAGACAGGTAGCCAGAAAAGACATTTGGGGGATAATCGAGGGAATGTTAATGTGTTTTTTTAGGTGTAATATGGAAATGTTTGGGTTTTGGAGGATGTCATTTTTTTGAGATACACACATCGGAGACAGGTGTCCTACTGTCTGCCACTTCCAGATGATTCAACAAGAGCTCTTTCAATGTGTGTGTGTAGATACGAAGAGATTTCATTTATATATACTTTCATAGTTTTCATTTATTTATATTTACATACATACGAAAGAAGGAAAAATGCAGACGTGACAGTCTAGGTAAAGGATATTCAGGTGTTTATCACATGATCCTTTCAGCTTTCCCATAGATTCAAATTTCTTCCAAAATAAAAAGCATTTAAAAAAAGGAAGGAAGGAAAAGATCTCTGTTCTGAGGAACAAAATCTGGGATACGTTGATGTGGGTATTTCAAGTACATGTATTATTTTAGAACTAGGACACAGTCCAGGGGTGTCCAGCCGGCTCAGAAGAGCACACGGCTCTTGATCTCGGGGTGGTGAGTTCGAGCCCCATGTTGGGGTAGGGACTATTTAAATAAATAAACTTAAAAGAAGAAGACCTAGAAACAGTCCAAAATGAAATATTGGAACCATTCGTATAATTCTACATCTCTAGATTCATGCAGACTTGAGATTCTTGGAAGGAGGGAGGGGGAAAATTAGTTTCCAAAGTCACCATAACCGTGGCTGGCAGAGTATTTCCAGATCCATTTACCCACCCGCACCTTCCATGAGCATCGAGGTGCTTCTTGGCACACAGACGAGACCGCCCTCCTGCTGTCCATGTCAGCTCCTGCGGAGGCCATTGCCGGTTTGGGTTCCGATCCATGAATTCAATTCGATCCTTTGCTGCCTAAGCCACATCCAGTGGGACCCCATTCCTGTCACACGTATGGCTCTTCCTTGCGACGGTGTCTCTGATCCTGGTTGGTTTTTGTCCGGGGCTCGTGCTAGGTGTTTTGAGTAAGAAATAGAGGGGTGAAGGTCGGTACGGTTACCGATCAGTCCCAGCGTCTATCCAGCCACCAGACAGCTTCCATTTCTGCATTTCAGCAATTCCAGTTTTCATCGGCAGGCACGTCTGTCCTCGTGCTTTCGTTTGCTTTCTTTTTATGTTTATTGAAGTACGTTCACTACAGTGTGCCTCTTAGTGGCAAGCAAAATAGAATTGCGCTCTGAAGTGACCCAGAGCCCCGGGGGACGAGAATGGGTAGGAGCGCCCCGGAGGAACGCAGGCAGGGTCCAGAAGCCGGCTCCGTCATCGGCCCAGGGGACGTCCTGCAGCCACTCGCCCCCAAGGATGGGGAGCTAAGGGATGCGGGGTGAAGGGGTACCGGACCACTGCTGTCCGACAGCGATGCATCCGTAATGGGAAGCGGCATCGCAGGTTCTCACAGCTTGTCTCTTTCTTCAGGATCTTCTGGGAAAGGACATTTTGGAATTCTGCCACTCCGAGGATCAGAGCCACCTGCGTGAGAGCTTTCAGCAGGTACCGCCAGTGCCCACCGACGGCTGACGTAGAACCGGGGCCCCGGGCAGCGGGCCGGCAGGGTGCGCCAGGCAGGCTGCACAGGGCCACCCGAGGCGTCAGGCAGGGACCCCGCGGCGAGGGGAGGGCAGACCCATCAGGAAGCCGCGCCTGTGTCTGGACGAAGGGCAGGCGATGGAGCCGTTAATGGTGCGGGGACGAGGCAGGAAGTCTCCCAGGGGAGGGGACCGTTGGGCTGGGATGCGCCTGCCCACAAGACAGAACATTCCAGACTGATGGCCGGCACCCGGAGATGCAGAATGCCGTGGCGTATTAGGGAGTTACGCGTGGCCCCTGGGGCTGGAGTGACACTTATCGCCGGGCAGGGAGGAGGGGGCCCACGGTAGAGCCTGCTGAGGCCACACGGAGGAGCGTCGTTTACGGGAGGGCTCCTCTGAGGACCGCAAGCAGAGCAGCGTTTTTGAAAGTTATGGTAGCGTGGACACGTGGAGAGCAAGTGTGGGAAACCCTTGGAACAAGGGGCACAGCGTGGCTGGGGAGGGGGCGGGGGGTGGGGCGCGGAGGGGCGGCCGGGGGGGACCGGTGTGGGCCTGGTGGCGCCCTGGGCAGAGACAGCAAAGGGGAGCCTGGAAGGGAGGCCGCCCGCCGCTGCATCGCTGCGCATCTCCCCGTCACCCCCGTGAGCTGCCCGGTGCTGAGAACCTGTTGTGTCCCGCTCGGCTGCGGACACCTGCGTGCACACGGCGCGCTTGTCCTGGGCAGGGGGCATTGTCACCATCATGTCACGGGAGAGAGGGGAGGGCCTGAGACCCTCCTGGCAGACGACAGGTGCGGGGAGAACCAGGGGTCTGAGGGCCTGTCCCCTCCTGGCAGACGGCAGGTTCCTCCTCCGAGGCCTCAGGAGCTCGCTGGAGCCCCAGGAAAGAGAGGACCAGACAGTGTTGCAGGACGAGGGCCTTTGAGGTCCGTTCTAGGAGGGGATGATAGTCTCTCGTTCATCTGACGGAACAGGCCCTTGACCTTGAGCTTACAGTGTTTTGGATGACCCCTTGACGGCCAGTTCCCCGGACGCCCACTGCTCCGTTCCCACCCCACGTCGGGGTGGCTCTCTGAGCCCCCCGCTCCGCCTCTCCAAGCCCTGCGCCCTCGGGCTCGGTCCTTGCCTGCCTTCTCTCCCGTTCTCCCTGTAGCGTCTCCCTCGGCGACTTTACCCGGGGGGCACAGCATAGACCGTCTCTGGCCCCCCAGTGCCCCCCACTTGCACAGGCCCGGAGCCGAGCTACGGTCGGCCCTCCTGCTCTGGTCTCGCTGCCCACGTGCGGCCCTCACGTCCGCTACCCCCTGAAGCCGTGTGCAGCCGGCCCCTTCTCCCTCTGCTCCTTCTGCCGACCCCGGCCGGGCCACCTGCTCTCACTTCCAGCAGCGTGGCAGGGTCCTTGCCAGGCTCCCTGCTTAACTCTTGCCCACTCCCCGCCAGTCGGGAGACATGAGTTTGGCTTGGCCACGTCTTAGCTTGAACGTGCCAGTGGCTTCCCAGAGACCCTGGAATCCGATCCAAGCTCCGTACCTCGGCTGCAAGCCCAGGATGACCCCACGTGTCTTAGCCGCACTCGTTCACGGCACCTGGTCTCATGGGTCTTCTGGTGCCTTGAACACATCATGCTGTTTCCCACCTCAGGGCCTTTGCACATGTTCTCTCCGGACTAGAATGCAGTCCCGTCACTCTTCCCAGGACCGACATCTTCTTGATTAGGTTTTAATTCCTGTCACCTCAGAGATGCTGTCCACAGCCACGCCAGTCAAGAAGGCCCCCCATCCTCCTTCTCAGCCTCTTGTTTTTCCTGCACAACGACTGTTGCAGTTTGTAATTGTTTTGTTTGTCCGCTGAGTTCCCCCTCCTCCACTGAGACATTAGCTCCCTGTGGGCAGGTGGCACGTCTGTGCTTCCACCATCATGCCGACCACCGAGTGAGGAGCTTGCTCATGGGTGAGCGGCTCTTAATCAAGTGGTCTAAATGGACGGTGACTTCCATTCTGGAAGGACGTGAGCTGAGCATGGTTGAGCGTGGCCAGAGTGCATCTTTCATGCCTCACCTTTGCCAAATATGTGGAGATTATTCTAGATGTTGGCCTGGGTCAGCTTCCCTTTTCTGGATCTGTAGAAATGAAGCTGTAGCAGCAGTGGGCCTCCCTACACGGTTAGTGACCAGCCAGACCCCTGGTCCCACACGGCCTCAGGTAATCCTCAGCCCACACCGTCCGTCATCCGCCCCACTCTTAACGGTGGACACCGGGACGCAGAGAGTTCCGGTTGCCTGCCCCGAGTTCCCCAGCAGGACGGTAACAGAGTGAGGGCTGGAGGTGCCCCCTTCCAGCACATTCCCCTGTCACCACTCACACAGGCCTCTCCGTCGGACAGCACGCCGAGGCTTTACCCTGCTGACGCCGTCGGAAGCTGGGTGGTTTGGGACAGAAACAGGAGGAATGTAAGCCCAGACCCTGAGTGGCACCAGCTCACGGACCTCTCGCCCTGGGTGCAGCCATCTCACGGCAGGCGGGAGATGAAACCAGAGCTGCTCCTGAGAGCCCGCGGCCCCACGGTCACAGAACTCAGCGGGCCGGGGCCATGCGGCCACGGGGATATCCTGGAGCACCGGCCTTGGCCCCTCACATGTGTTCTTTGGGCCCCAGCCACTGGGGGACGAATGTTGATAAAGGGAAGAGGTTTATTTTTGCAGAAGCACGGAGGGGGCTGTGTCAGCTCAGAGTCAGCCTTGGAACTCTCTGGATTTAAACCAAAGCATCTGAGGGGCCCAGACATGAGACCCTTAGAGTGCCATCAGGTTCCTGAGGAATTTGGGTTTGGTGGGGTGGCCTGTGCCCGCGCAGGGGCCAGGAAACCCGAGTCTGCTCTTGGCTCCATTCTTGGACCCTCGCCGGCTTACCGTTTACCCGGCAGCCAGGGAAGAGTGGGACCCAGCGAGACCCAGGCCCGGAGCAGGGTCCCACTGTCCCCTCTGCTCTCCTCTTGCGTGCCTTCCGCCATGGAGCCGTGTTCACGAAGCAAGGGGCAGGCCGGCCTGGATGGTCTCCTGACACCTGAGTTGGGCAGGATGGAGGGACCCTGGTGCGGCCCTGCCCCACCCGTGCCTCTGGCCTCCACCACGGCCCAGGTTCCCACACACAGAGCACATGCCTCCTGCCAGGGAGCTTCACTCGCCGACGATGTACCCACCTACCCGCCTTCCAGGGAGTTCCTAGCCCCGCCTCCCTCAGGAGCCCTCTCTGGACCCCATGGCGTCCTGGTGGCCCCCTGCCTCTTGATTGTGTGGTTCTGGGCGGGGACTCGGCCTGCTCTCTCTTCCTCCTCGGCCGAAGGAGTTCATGGAGACAGTGGGCCGTGGGGTCAGGAGATCCAGGACCCCGTCCTGCCTCGGGCACGGCTTAGCGGGAGGCCTCGGTGGCATATTTAACGCCTTTGGGGCCCACATTCCAGATGCACACAATGTTGTCGGGAGGCCCACACGAGGTGACTTAGCCGGGCCCCGGGCCCTGGGGAGGGTGCGGGGCTGCCACAGAGCCTCCCACGGGACCCTCACAATGCCGACCTCGGGCACGTCGCCTTGACCCCTGGCCCTGTGGGGAAAGAGCAAGCTTCCTTGCTGGGACTGCACGCCTGCCAACAGGCCACAGCCCGAGCCTCCTGGCCTTGCCTCACCCAGTGCGTACGTCCTCCTGGGCGTGGTCCGGCTTCTGTATCACTCAGGCTCTCCCACCAGGGAGTCCAACCGCCTCAGGTTTCATTCCGTCTGGTTCCCCAGGGGTGGTGCAGAAAGAGGGTGGGCGCCCAGGCTGCATCAGCCCAGCTCATGGGACGACGGACCCGTCGAGGAACTTCGGAAAATGTGCTCCAGGTGCCTGCTCCGTGCCAAGCTTGGGGCTGGCGGGTGGGGGGGGGGGGGGGATAGGACTCAGGTGACCAAGAGGTCCCTCCCCATCCCTGTCCCCAGGCTGTCCACAGACGTCCAGCTGGAAATAAACTACAAGTGAGGGAGTTGAGGAGGAGGGACCGGGCCCTCCCTGACCCTGGGGCCAGGCCCGTGTTCTTATCTCTGATCATACTCTGGGCTCATGGTCAAGACAGCTGGCTGCCCTGGGCCCAGAGCCTTCTCTGTCCTGATCAGCCCCAGGATCTGGGGTACACAGGCCTGTGGAGAGGACAGCCCCATCTGTCTTGTTTTGTCCTGGGGGTGTATTCTCACCCAAGCCCAGGCCCACCCACCGGCCATTCTTAGCCGCTCCTGTCTCCACTGCAGCCCCGAGACCTGCTGGCCGAGTGGGCCTTCTGCACCAGTGCGTGCACGCCCAGGGCTCCACGTCTGCCTGTGCACGGATTGTGTGTGTCCACAGGGAGCACAAGAGCAGGCAAAACACACTTGTGGTTCGGAAGTAAGACGTTGGTTCCTTCTCAGCTTTTCCAGCAGAGCTGTCTGACCTTGGGCAGCTTGTTTCATTTATCTCTAAGACTCGGTATTAATCCTGTATAAATGGTAAAACCCACCTTCACCAAGCCCCCGTGAGGATGTACGTCGGGAAGTCGTTCGGAACCCATGCTTGGCGTGAACGGGACAGCAGATGCTTGCACACGGGATGACGCATACGGATTTACTCTTTCCTTACACCTCCTCCCAGAGAGTGCTTGACCCAATTAACAGTGGTAAACGGGGGTTAAGGATGTTTTAGCGTGAGGTGTAAAGAACAAATCCAGCGCTGGACTGTAACTAGTCACCCAGGACCCAGCAGCCCAGCCGGACAGGGAAGCACTGGGCGTATAGAGCGACATGACCCCATTTGAAAAAGCTGAGGGGTGGGGCGCCTGGGGGGCTCAGTTGGCTGAGCGACTGCCTTCGGCTCAGGTCATGATCCTGGGGTCCTGGGATCGAGTCCCACATTGGGCTCCCTGCTCGGCGGGAGGCCTGCTTCTCCCTCGCCCACTCCCCCTGCTTGTGTTCCCTGCTCTCGCTGTCTCTGTCTCTGTCTCTGTCAAATAAATAAATAAAAAAAAAATAACAACAAAAAGAAAAAGAAAAAGCTGAGGAGTCCCGCTATAAAACGTTCTAGAGGGTGGACAGAGTGCGGGGCCTGCTCCGAAGAGGGAGAAGCCCCCCAGCCCAGCCGCGCTCCCTCGCCGTCTCTGCCGCGTGCCCCGCTCTGAGCCGCCCGGTGCGTCTCCCGCCTCCCGCTGACCCCCTTCCTTGTGCGACTGTCTCCTCAGGTGGTCAAGCTGAAGGGCCAGGTGCTGTCCGTCATGTATCGGTTGCGCACCAAGAACCGCGAGTGGATGCTGATCCGCACCAGCAGCTTCACGTTCCAGAACCCCTACTCGGACGAGATTGAGTACGTCATCTGCACCAACACCAACGTCAAGTACGTGCTTCCCCCGCCGCCAGGTCTGGGTGCCTCTCCTGAGTCCTGGGCTGGAGCCCTTTCTCCCCGTGGGCTCTGGCTGGCGGTCCCTGCGGGGCGGGAGGAGCAGGCCCCAGGGGTGAGGGGGTGAGGGGGGCTGTGGGCCGCATCACTGCTTCCCCGCCCCGCCGCCCTGCTCCCGTCCCCCCTCCCTCCTGTAAGAACCCCCAGGCCGAGGGAATGCCCCCACCCCCTGCCTCCATGCAGGTGTCCTGCTCCCCGGGCCTCGCTGTGCCCCCAGCACGCAGAGCCCAGCAGGGGTGAGCCGGGTGCCCTGCGGCTGCCCGGCATGCTGGCTGCTAGGGCCTGATCTCTTGGCCCTTCTGAAGCAGGGCCGGGGAGTGAGACTGGGGCTGCGGCAGCTCCGGGGCCTGGGGCCGGGGCGGGGGGTGGCACTGCGGGGACACGCGGTTCCCCTGCTGCAGGCCCTGCGGTCCCAGAGTCACCACGGCTTCACCCTGTGTCCACGCGTGTTAGCACGTGGCCCTGGCTCCGGGCTTGACCCCCGCTTCCCGTGACCTTGAGTTGTGTGTTATTTGTCAGCGCTCACTGCCCCATCTGGGCCAAGGGGTGGTAACACCTGTGCTGTGGGGATTGGGCTCAGGCTCCCAGCGACAGGCATGTCACGCCTCCTCCCTGGGTTTATGCTCGAGGAAATGCAAGGCCAGAGAACCAGTGGGAACACAGGCAAAATGATGCCCAAGCGTGCCGTCCCTGTGTACCCACGCTGGTCGGTGGTACCGCCGTCCTGCATCTCCCGGGCCCAGCTCTGAGTGGGTGTCACCCCTGCCGCCTCCCCTCTTGTCTGACAGCTGCCCCGGCCATGGCACCCCAGGCAGTGACCTGCCGGCTTGCTCGGGGCCCTGGCCCCCCGTGTCTCCCAGCTCCCCGGATTGGGGCATGCCCCCGGGGCCCCCCGCGGTCGCCTCCTTTCTGGGCAGTCCCACCCTGTGTCTCAGCCTCAGCCCTGCTCCTGGCCCACAAGGCACAGAGCTGGACCGTCCGGTCCACTCACGCGAGGCCGCTCAGGGCGGCTGACCTGGGTTTCGATGCTGGCCCCCACCGGACGAGTCACTGTGTTGTCCAGGGTTCAGTTGCCTCGTTGGTAAAGTGGGGAGAACAACCTTGTGCCTCAGGTTCTGCACATAAACGGTGCGTGTGAAGCAGCGTTGGGGGACGGCGGGCCCGGAGCCAGCGCTGGGGGTGGGGCCTGCACAGCTGACAGAGACCGTGTGGGTGCGCAGCGTCCCCCTGGCCACCGTGTCCCAGTCTGCCCCTTGCAGGCTGCCTGCCACCTGCTGAGGGCTCCGGAGGTGCACCACCCCGCTTGCTTCCTCAAGCTCCAGGCGGATCGTCCTGCCTCCTGTTGGTGGGACTGAGCGTCCCCGGGGCTGACCGGGCCCTCCCAGCACATCCTCCATTTCCCGAGGGCCACGCTCCTTGTCCAGGCCCTGCCGCGGGCTCCTCCCAAGACCCTGGCGTAGTCACCGGCTTCCTGAACGGGGAAGACCCCGGTCTCCCTGGCCCTCCGGAGCTTTCTCTGGCAGCCCTCTGTCGGGGCCCGCCCGCCGTCCGTCTCCTCGTCACCCCTCACAGCCTGGGCTTGGCCCCCAACTCCACTAACTCGCTTTGCCAGCAGCTGTAGGGACTGGGCAGCCCATCATCACTGGTCATCGCCCCAAACTGCATGACCACCTCCTTTCCCTCTGCTTCTTCTCCCTTGGCCTGCCCAGCACTCCGGCTCTTCTAGTTCCACCTTCCAGCCATGACGTTCCTGGTTGTAGGAAGAGCAGGAGCGCATAGGAGTCAGAGACCCAGGCGTGCAGAAAGAGCACGGCTTTATTCTCCCCCGTGTCTGAGACGGTCTCGCGGCTACGTGGTAAACTCGGTTACTCCCCCGGCTTCCGCGGCCTGGGCAGGAGGAGGCTCCTCACTCGGGGAGCGGGGAGGCAACCGCAGTCCCAGGCCCGTCTCCCCCACCCCGGGTCTGCGAGGCTGATCATGCGCTCATGGCCCGGGGGGGCAGCCGGACGGGCAGTGGGAGCCCCGGGGGAGGACGGCATGCCATCTTGGTTTGCTCAGCGTCGGCTCACGCTGCAGCTTGGGCCTCCTGTCCTGGTCCCCCTGCGGCCACACCGGCCGGCATCGCTGGGAGTCCTGCAGACGGGCAAGCCTGTCAGGCATTCAGGGCCCTGGACGCTGTTCTAGAACCTTCTGATGCCCACATACTGGCTGGGATCAGTGAGAGCCGTCGTGTCTTTGATGCAGCCCCCCCTGGCCGGTCCGCCCTGCTGCCTCGCGCCCCCCTCCCACACCTGACTTGCACACGGCCGGGGCCGTGCTGCCTGGCTTGCAGGGGCCGAGGACTGCCTCTCCAGGCGATGAGAGGAGTCTCGGGGTGTCGTGGGGACAGCCTGCAACCTGCTGTCAGACCCGAGGCTGGCCCGTCCGTCAATCGGTTCTGCAGCACGTCCAGGCCACCCCTGCGTGGTGCAGACCCGCTCCCGGCGGGCACCTGGCAGCATCCTCTAGACTCGGGTCAGAGAGCGGGCTGAAGCTCCCTGCCTGGGTTTTTGGCTTTGTTCTACTTTCCACCGTTCCTCACTCACTCCCGTGTTAGTACACGCGTCACTCAAGCGAGTTGGGTGCTGTTGTCGAGACTCAATGCAGCAGGTGCCCACCGAGCGCTGCGGGAGGACACGGGCCTGTGGCAGGTTCCAGGACAGGCAGGGCGCCCGCCGCCAGGGAGGGGCCGTGTCCCCGGGGAGCACAAGGAGGCAGAGGGACCGACAGATGCATGCTGTGAGGACGCAGGAGGCAGAGCATGAACACGTCCGCCCACGGCCTCCGAGACAGCCTCCTGGCAGCTAGTGCTGGTCCGACGCCCGGAAGGACAGGCGGGACCCTCCTCCCAAGGGCGCCCACCACAGGGGCTTTGCTTTCTTCCTCTGAGGCGGGCAGCCCCGAGCGAACGGGCGTGTCCCCGCTTGTGTCTCGGGACGGTTGCTCCCGGCAGCTCTGTGGGGTCAGAGGGGATGAGAACGGCCCCTCAGAGGCCCGCCGGCGGCACGTCCCCCGGTGGAGGGGGCGGGAGATGTTGGCTGCGGGCAGCAGAGGGCAGTGACGGCCAGGATGCGAGCCCTCCGGCCCGCTGCAGGGGCGCGGCGCGGCAGACGCGCTTCGGGAAGGTCCTTACGTGCTCTGCGCTGGGGCAGGAGTGGCGAGCCGAGCTGCCGTCAGTCAGGAGCGTCCAAAGAAATTTCCAGAGAAACGGAGCGTGAGTTGGTTAGCATGTGTGCAAAGCTTCGGAGAGGAAGGCCTCCGTCACCGTGCGCTTGCTCGCATGACGTCGGCGCGGGGAAGCGGGAGGCAGCGCAGAAAGCACGCTCGGATCTTGCTGCACGACCGTTGTCTGTGCCGTGTCCGGGCTCGGGGCCGGCTCGGTCCTGTGGAGACACGGCGTGGGCCGCTCTGAGCACGAGCTGTCCGCGTATCTGTGCGCAGGTGAGCTAGCGGCTGAGCGCTCCCTGTCCCGGCCCCTCCCGGGAGGGATCTGACGCTGTCCCTTGGCGTGTCCTGACGGCGCTGTCCAAAGCCACCGTAGGTCTCCACGACCACGGCTGTTTTGTGCTGTGGAGCGCGTGCGCTTCGTCAGGCCTCCACCATGCCCGGCCCTGCCGGCACCCTGGCTCGGAGCCAGCCGTCCGTCCCCACGCGCTCAGTGAGAGCCCGAGGGGCTGCAGGGGCCGGGAGCCTGGGAGTGGGCCGTGAGGGCCAGGTGACCTTCCTCATCCCTGCAGAGCTTAGGGTGTGGGGCGCAGGGTGGGGGCGGTGGGCGATGCCTCCGGCCACGGAGCCCCAGCCTGGGACTTGTCCCGCATCCTGCCGTCCCAGGCACCTGCTGCAGACCAGGGTCCCACAGCGTCTGTCTGGGAGTCTGCGCCTGTCTCCTCCTTCCCTGCATCTTCCCCAGCGCCTTGCTGAGACCCCCGCCCTATCTCAGGGGATCCTCCATGCTCTTCCCGGCCAGCCCCCGCCTTCTGTCCGGCCCCACCGAGCTGCCCACGTGGCCCCAGGAGCCACCCCGCCCCTGCCCCCTGGAGTCAACTGCAGAGCCCCGGACGGGCATCCGGAGTCCTCCTGATGGGCGTGCAGACCGCCCTCGGTCAGCGGGGGGGCATTATAAACTTCACTCTGGTCGGCCGAGCTTGGGGAGCCCCAGGTGCCCGGTCGCCGGATCCCGGTTCTCCCGGAGGCACGATCTCTGCTGCCTCCAAGTGCCCCCCTCGTGGCCGGTCACACACACACTCAGGCTGAGTAAGGCCCCTGTCCGCAGGGCGCCCGGCAGCGTTGACGGCATCCGCCTGCCTCCTGCCATCCCCAGTGCAGGGAGGCTGCGCAGACAGGAACCCCGGGCCTGACGCACCTCGTGTCGGGTCATCCGCGCTCGTCCCCAGGGGACTGGGGGGCAGGCGGCGCTTTGCTGCGTCCGGGCCCGGGCCTGCACACGGGCTGTTGGTCAGAGTTGGGAGCAGCCACGTTTCCCCCCTCAGGAATTGGCAAGCACACCGAGGTTTATTTTTATTCCATTGCTGTGAAATGTCCAGAAAGCTCCTCAGGCCTCTTCCCAGGACGGGCGGCCTGCGAGTCAGCACTTCTTCCATGGGTGCGCAGCTGTGGGCGTGGAGACCAAAGTCTGCAGGATGGGGTGGCCGTGTCCGGACCACAGAGGGAGTGCGGTCAGGCCCCGGGGGATCTGCGGCCACGCCAGAGACCCTGTTTCCTACATTCCCCTGGAAGGAGCTTCCTCGGGCCCAGAAGGGGACAGAAGCACGCTCGCACCCGGATGCCTTTGGCCCTTACTGACCCTCTCACACCCAGCAGCAGCGTGGGCCCTTCCTCCCTGCAACGCAGGCCCACACTGGGGCGCCCGGCGCACAGCCCCACGCGGGGGTCTTACCCCCTCCCTGACGGTCTGTGCTCCGCCCAGACCCAGGCTGGGCCACAGGCGGGAGCGGCCGGTATTCCCTGGACAAGCAGTGCTGGGCTGAAACTTGGGCTCTGGGAAAGTTTTGGAAGGAAGAGAAGGGCATTCACTGCTCTGATCCCACAAAAACCCCAAAGCACAGGTTTGCTGTCCCGCCCGGTGGTCCACCACACTGTGTGGTCGGGTCGGCTGCTCTGGAATGGGAGATGTGGGCAATGGTCCTTGTTACATCGTGGGACCGAGTGCAGGGTCTGTAGCACAGAAGGGTCTGAATCCCGCATGCGCCATCCCGGGCACGTCTTTGGGATTCTGAGCCTCGCTTTCTGTGTCTATGAAGCGGGAAGGCTGCAGAGGTAGGATGGTGCGGGCAGGGTCCCACCCCGAGCTCTGCACTCAGGCTTCAGGGGCCCCGGGAGCAAGCGATGGTGGGGCCCTCGGGGTGTAAACAAAATACCAAAACTGTAAAGTGAGAATAGGAAATACGGAAAGTTATGATTTTTCTACAGATAATTGTATTCTTTTTAAATTTTTTGAAATTGCAATTTAAAAAATTTCTTTTTAGTGCTCCTGTTTCCTGGTGTTGCAGGTGCAGGTGCTGACTGCCTGGGGGGCCGTCCGGGTCTTCTGGCTCACCTTTCCCCCGGGCTCTCCCACCCAGATCGGGAGACAAGCTGTGTGTTCTCCCCGCAGCCTGGCTCTGAATGCATCACACCGTGCTTCTTGCCTACTGTCCTCCCAGACACGGTCCGCGCCGTGAGGCCCCGACCGCGTGGGTCTGGATGCCTCATCCTCTCCCCTGGGGTCCAGCACAGAGCCTGGTGTAGACGTTTCAGTACACTTCCCAGGACAGACGGACTGTCCAGGCTTAGACCTAAACACACTGGTCAGCGGGGTCCTCTTCTAAGAGGTCTTCCCTGGGGGGGATGCACGCCAGGGGCCAACGTGAAGGGCGTGGCGGGGGGTGAACGGTGTCCAGACTGTCCGTCTCTCTGGCTGCTGGGGGAGGAGTTCAGGGACAGAATTCAGCTTATTTTGTGTTTCTGGGGAAGCAGGATCAGAACTCAAAACGGGCGTGGTAGGAAGGTGGATTTGGGCTGTTTGGCCACAGACTTTCCATGATTGCGTCTGTCTACTGATGGAGCGGGCTGCCTTGGGAAGCCGCGAGCTCCCCAGCAGAGGAGGGAAGCAGACGGGCCACTGGCCCGTGCAGTCACAGTCTCGGGTGGGGGGCTGTGGACCCGATCACCTACACTTGCTCTGCTCTGGGGAGCGGAAGTGGTCAGTTACCCAGACAGCCCGCACCGGGGCCTAGACGGCCTAGGTGCTCTGTCTACACCCCCCGCCAGCCGGGGGGCGTGTGGATGTCCGAGAGCCAATGTTAACCTTTGTGGACAGGACGGCGTGTGCCCTCTTGTTCTCAGGCTTCCAGCTGTCTGGCCAGTGGAGGGACTGGCTGGGGGCAGCGGGTAAGAGTTTGAGGGCCCCCTACCCCAAGGTAGCAGGGGCTGCATCTGCCGCTGAGGCTAGGCTCCTGGCCGGCCGCCCCTCCCACCGGGTCTCGTCACTGGCTCCCACGGTGGCTAGCCCAGGGCTTCCTCTGCGCTGTGAGCAATAGCCACTGCACCAAACCCTCTGCAGAGCATCATCACTTCTCTGCAGACCCCTGGCATCTCTGGGTCTCAGTGCGCTCTGTTGTAAAGGGAGTTCAGAAATACCCCCTTGGAGGGTTTTGTGAGCCCAGCAAGAGCTGCTGTGAATGCACACCCCTAGCAGGGGCCGGGGGCTAGTACACAGAGGGTGCAGGTGTCCTTCCTGCTGGCCTTCTGCAGTCGACAGCTCCCCCTTGGCCGGACCACATGGCCTTCTCCCGCATGGTGCCCCCCAGGTCCTCCCGCGGCCCCGGGGTCTGCTGATCCGGGCTGCAGGTATCCAGAGGCGGAGACGCGCTCACAGGGGCCCCTCTGGGGGACGCTTCTCTGACTGGGCCGGCTCGCCCCGACACCTGCCCTACCCGCAGTGACTGCTGGGCTCCCCAGCAGACTTTAGTTCTCTGCACCTGCCCCCCTCCCGCCCCTGGTGCCTCCGGCCCCCCTCCCCTCCGAGGGCTCCTGCTGTCTCCAGGCTCAGAGCATGGGCAGGCGTGGGGGAGACAACCTGCACCTCGGAGATATTCACAGGGGACCCACCGAGATTGTCCTGGCTTCGAAACACGGCGACAACGGATAAGGAAGATCCAGCCGGTTAATGCGAACTCGGAAGAGATGTTGTTCTGCGTCCCAAAGCCATGCACTGCTCGTGGCCATAGTCACGGTGCGCAGAGCGTTTTGTCCTGAACTTTTCCACACGCTCTGACACCTTCAGTGTCTGCAGATGGTCCTCGCGGTGGCCGCTGTGGGACCGCGGGGAGCGTGCACCCAGTGAATCGATGGACACGTTCACACAGTCGTCCCCTCTTCCCGCCTACTCTGCATAGCCCGCTCTCGTCTCTGGCCGCTGATAAGTCCCCTGCAGCCCAGCAGCGGGCGACTCCTGGAGGGCGTGGACGTGTCCACAGGACCTAACAGGGACCGCCGGGAAGGCTGTGTGCCCACACCAAGCCACCCTGTAAGCATAGTTCTACCGACTTGGTCGTGAAGAGTTGTTCTTCAAGTCTGTTCTGATTTGCACTTGCTTTGACTATTTGGTGAAAATGTTTGCCTACTTGCTGGGTACGTGAGTATCCATATTCTGTATGTTATACGTGTGTGTATTTATGCTTGAGCGGCTTGTCCTCCCCACTGACTCCTGGGCATGGGGTGTGTGTATTTTGGTCAATTATTTGCTGATCGTTGTTCGCCTCTCATTCTTGTTGGTATTTAGAGTTGAGCGCGATGCTGTCATCCCGCCCCATTTTTAGGCTCTGAGCTGTAGGGTTCGCTGTCCCTTGGAAGTAACTCGGTTCCCATATTCTAAAACACAAAGCAGCCGTTCCCCGTAAGGAGGCTTTTTCTGTCCCAGGAGCAGCGTGGGAGCGTGCAGAGCGCCAAGCAGGGGTCAGAGGCGTCAGGTCAGGTCCTGGCCCCGTGAGGTCGTGACCACTGGTGGGCAGGCACCTGGGCAGCCTCTCTGAACTGTTCACGGGGGCATAAAGTAACGCTGTGGGGTCCCGAGTGAGGGCTGGATGAGGTCCCACAGGCCCCGTCCAGCCTACTGGTCGGCACTCACTGAGGCCTTCTGGGTCCGTCTGAATTTGGCCTTAACATTTTTTTTTTTTTTTACCTGCATAAAATGACATCATAAACCACAATTTATTTCCTAACTGTTGGCAGCCTGAAGTACAGAACTTGGAGTCTTGATTTGGGACGTTAAAAAATAATCATAAAATAAAACAAACACCGAGACCGGTTTGGAGGTCCGTCGGGTCGCCCGCTGCCGCTTTCGGCTCGGGGCAGGTTCCGGTCCAGCCCTGCAGCTCCACGTCGGCTCTGGGTGACTCTGCCGGTTTCCTGTCCCTCAGGCAGCTCCAGCAGCAGCAGGCCGAGCTGGAAGTGCACCAACGGGATGGGCTGTCCTCCTACGACTTATCACAGGTGAGCTTCTGGAACAGTCTTTCCTGGTTGGCACTGGGGACTGCAGTCCACCCTTAGCTTGACCCCCCTGCCCCCAGCCCAGCCCAGCAGGTCCTAGTGCTCTGTCCAGCCCCTCAGCGCAGAGACTTCGCTCCCCTGGGGCCCCTGTGAGCCTTTTGCAGAGCTGGGCCGCGAGGGCTGCCGGACCCGGGAAGCCTGGTGGCAGGCTGTGGCCAGTACGAAGAGTGTCGGGGGGCTAACCGTAGCTTCCCGACTCTGAGCCCTAATCCTTGCACCCTCGGAAGCTGATGGAGGCAGCTCCGGACCCTGTCAGCCCTCGGCTTCCCAGCCATCTGTCCTGCCTTTGGCCCGGTCCCTTTCTGCCCCCACCCCGGTCCTGCCCTGTGTCCCCGCGCTGCCTGCGCTAACTCCCTCCCTTGCCCCTTCTCCCTAGCCCCCTCCTCCTCCCTCTGCCTTTCCTGCTCTTGCTGCATCTGGAGCTGGCCATCTGGGGAAACCGCAAGGTGTCTGTCTCCTACGTTAGACTGTATGTTCACGTCTCCTGGTTTTCAGAGTACGCTGATCATTAACTTTCTAGAAGTCGTCGGTGTGACTCCGTGGTCCTTTCTGTGACCTCCAGCTCACAGCCCCACCCCGACTGTCCTTGGCCTCCATCGACAGAAAAGCTCCCCCCCACCCCCCACCTGTAAAACCTTCCAGCCCGAAACGTCAGTGGCGTGGGAGGGAGGGCGCCGGCCAAAGGCGAGGCCGGAAGCGCGTGTTCTGTGTCTCATGCGTGGGATGCGGTTGTGTTTTAATGTGCAAACAGGTTCCCGTCCCCAACCTGCCGGCCGGCGTTCATGAAGCCGGGAAGTCCGTGGAAAAGGCAGACACCATCTTCTCCCAGGAAAGGGACCCCCGGTTCACCGAGATGTTTGCGGGGATCAGTGCATGTAAGTTTCCCGACGCTGCCGTGGCTTTGAGGGTGTGGGGGGCAGGGTGCTGTGGCCGGGCCATCGGGGGACAGCCCCCCTCCCCCCCGAGGGAGAGGCCCCCGCGGGGTGGGCTTTCAGCATACAAGAGCACCTGGTACAGGAGTGCCGGTGGAGCCTCGCCTCTCGCTCCCCTGCTCCCTGGGGCCCCCACGCTTTCTACATTCAAGGGTTGGGAAGGAATGGCGCATGGATGCCCAGAATTCGCTCAGTCGCGGTCATCGGGTGGCCTGCCCACATTCGTGCTGTTGCCAGAGAAAATGGTGCGTGCGTCTGGGTCACGTTGTCCTGTGAAGCCCGTGTGGGCAACTGCCCTTTCCAGCCAGATTACCACTAAGATTAGCAAAATACACAACCTGGAAAGATCTGTATCATTCCAAAATTCAGCAGAAGGATTCCCTTTTCTGGTGGTCGAGGAATGTCTGCAAGGTGCAGTGTGGTTGGGATCCGTTGAGGGGAGAAGGCAGCTGACCCGCCCAAAGGCAGCGTGGAGACGCTCGTCTGCAGGACTGAGGAGCTGGGGCAGATGGAAGAGCAAATCTCAGCCCTCCTGACATCTGCCCAGGTGGTGCAGACACGGCCGTCATTCCCACCGGGCCTCGGGCCAGCCGCTAAGGAAGCGAGGAGAGTGGCATCGAGGTCTCCCACGAGGGCCGTGCGTGCCGAGCCGTGTGGCACGGTGACCTGTTGGCCCCCAGACACCTTCGTCGGTGGCTCTGGACTTGGCAGGGAAGAGAGCAAACGGTAGCACGTCTAAAAGACTTCTCTTCCCCTCAGAGAAGCCTGAGGTGTTGGACCAGACCCCGCAGCATTTCTAGGAAATCCACGTGATGTTGTAACATGACAGGTGTAGACGCCTTCCCATAAAGATGAGCAAATAGGGGGAGAATGGACAGACAAGGAAAATGGCAGAGCGCACCCCTGTCCACCACCGAGGCTGCGCTCACACGCGGGAAGCCGCAGGAGGGTGCTCCCAGACCTCCCGAGAGCGCGGCCTGCCAGGGACTGGGCTCGTTTGGGGGATGCATCAAAACACAGAACACGGGAGTGGAAGGGACGGGTTGAGAAAGCAGGAGTGCGAAGGAAGAACACAAGAATGGAGGTACGAACGGCTGGGAGATACAAAAGACACAGACAAGCCAGAACCAAATCAGTTCGGCAAAGGTCCGGATGCATCTTGGGTTAGGGGTCATAAACAGAAATTTCTCATCGGCGTGTATGGTTTTTTTCCTCTGACGTTTCTAGAGAAGCACAGTTTCCAGTGTGTTTAAAAATAACCACTCTTGAAAGGAGGGAAGAGAAAAAGAAGGAAGGAAGTCTCGCTTCCAAGAAAAGACGAGGACATTTTTAGCAAAATGCAAAATACTCAGAAGAACAAGTGAAATAGTAAGAAAGTATGAATGTCATGAGCGGTAGAATCAGTTGGTGTTCAAGGGCTCCTGGGTGGTAGCTCCTGAATCACATGCTTCCAGAATATGCTGTCCCCCCAACAGCACGCTGTGAAACCGTGGAGCCCGGAGGGGTGGGTGGCCTGGTGCCTGCAGACCCCGGAAGGGACACACAGTCGCCGAGCGCTGTGAGCCAAGAGGGCTGTTTTACGCAGATAAGAGGTGTGGCCTAACGTGAAGGTGTGTGTGTCATGAGCACTGGAACGTGGGAAAGAATAGTTAGAAATACAGGAAAATCCTGATAAAGCCAAGTTGCCGCGGGAGATCTCAATATGCATTTCTTCATCTCCAACAAGTCAAGTAGATCAAAGTCATAAAATGAAAAAAGATATAGAAGATTGAATAATAAAATCAAAAATCTTTATGTATGTAATTTTGTGCCCTACAAACGTCTGGGAGCAGTTAGGAAAAAAAATGTGCTTCTCATTTACCCAAAACACCAAAAAACCAAAATACATGGGAAAAAAAGAGCTTGCCTTAAGCAAATAGTCACGAGAAGTCCCTCGGGCGCCTTTCTCCTGAAACCTTGAGCTGCATCTTTATCTGCAAGACCCAGGCCTGAGGACTGTGTCAGGAATGCACACTCAAGGGTCCAAGCCCCTTCCATCCTCTAGGATTTTCCACTGGGTGCCCTGTCATTGCAGCCAAGGAAATGGACCAGGGAAACTGCTCAGGGCTTCAGTGTATCAAAACGTCATAGACGTGGTTTGCACGTGTGGGAGATTCGGCTCATGGCCGCTGAAGCCTGTCCCCTCGGCCCCGAGCCCCAGAGCCTGAGTGTCCATCAGTCACTGCTCATGTCCACCCGGTGGGGATCCCCCCCACAAGCCAGAGATGGGTACAGGCGAGGGGGTCTGTCTAGGCACAAAATTATTGCCACGTAACTAACTTTGACGTCCTTTATTCCGGTATCTTGCTGTGGGTGGGGTGTCAGGTTGTGGGAGCAATAGGTGTAGGAGTTTTGAGATTGTAGGGAAGTGAAGGGCTCTATAACCAACACGTCCAAGGCCACCCCCCCTACCGTAGGGCGGAGCTGGTCTCCGAGCACCAGAGCCGGTCCTCCAACCACTGCCTCGGTGCTGGAGGACAGCCCGGTGCCCTCCGGTGCGGAGAAGACCCCGGGAGACGGAGTGCGCGGAGGCCAGGGCAGGGCAGGTGCACGTGGACAGGTGGCCAGGATGTGTGGTCCTGCTGTGGGTCGCCCAGCGCCGCTCCCGGGCTGCCTGCCCCACGGTCTGGAGGACGGGATGCCCTTGAATGTGACCCGCGCTGTGCTCTTCCTAGCGGAGAAGAAGATGATGAGCTCAGCGTCTGCAGCAGGAACGCAGCAGATCTACTCCCAGGGAAGCCCGTTCCCCCCCGGACACTCGGGGAAGGCCTTCAGGTACGTGCCAGCCGGGGGACCAGGGGGCAAAGGGGGCGGGAGGATGCCCCTCACCTGGGAAGCCCCGGGCCTCAGAGCTCGGCTCCGTGTGCGGCAAATTGTGCCAACACCAGTTGGTGGCTGCCGTCCTGCAGGCTCTGGGCTGGGCTGGGAGGCCGGTGGCTCTGGTTCTGCCCTCTGAGCCCTCGGTGCGTTGCTACTGGACATGTTGCTTGCCCGTTGGGGAAGGAGGAGCAGAGACTGGGAGGAACGGCCAGGGAGGAGACTGGCGGCGCTCAGGAGGGTATGGGGTCCTCCCGTGCACCCACCAAACGCCCAGACTCACTAGAACTGTCCCAGACCCAAGCCCAGGTGGGCGGGGCTCCTCATACAGCCCAGCCACTGGCTCAGTGGCCAGAGCCCAAGCGGAGCGTCCGGGTGCAGATGGGGACCAGGACTGGGCAGGTGGGACTGACCACCCCAGGGAGCGGGCCCGGCCAGGGCCCTGCCCTCGCTGGCTCTCACACCGGTCCACGGACAGACCCCCTGGAGAAACGGCAGGTCGCTTTAGCAGACTGACACCTTGGAGGGGCTCTGGCCAGTGCAGCTGGGTCTCACTGGACGCAGCCTGCTCTGCAGCTCCCGGCACGCGGGCCTCTGGTCTGGGGCCAGTGGGGTGAGGTGGTGGCCCCCGGGGAGCGGCTGCTGGGCCGTCTTCACTGCCAGTCTCCCTGCCCTGCTGCATGTGCTCACAGGTCCTCAGCCCGGACGAAGGGCAGCGGGGAGGGAGTGGAGGCCGGAGGTGAGGACGGGACTGTAGGGACAGTAGCAGGGCCTGGAAAGGCCTGGCCAACTGCTGAGCTGAGCCCAGAGCAAAGGTCAGTTTGCCACTTGATGAGGCGATGGGGCCTCCTCCGCAACGTGCTGAACAAAGCCCGGGAGGCTGGAGAGATGGGAGAGGCTCAGAGTCAGGGCAAAACAGGAGGAGGCTGCAGAGGCCTCGAATACCACACCAGGGGGTCGGAGGGGAAGAGGGACCTGTGGAAATGGGGTCTGGGAGAAAGTTCAGGGGGCAGTGTGGAAAGGGAGGGTGCTGGTGGTTCATAGGACCCGTGGTCCAGCTCGAGACGCTGAGCCGGGGTGAGGCTGTTGTGGAAACGAAGTCAGAGGGCAGTTAAGGAGAAGGGGGGACTGGCTTGCGGCCAGCTGGCTGTGTGAGGACCTGGCCCCTGCCAGAGCCTGCATCGGGAAGGCGCTCGCTCACTGCTCATCTGTGGGAGGAAGGAGGGAGGGAGGCCTGGGAGGCCCCGAGCCTGTGGAATGAGCCGGGTTTCCTGTGAATCGAAAGGGCCTGCGCTGGTGTGAGTGGGAAGGGTGTGGGTTGAATGTCAGTCAGAGGTCGCCCTGAGCTGCAGGGGAGTGGTGTTACTGCAGGTCCCTGACTGTGCCCTCACCCTGAGTCCTGCCGTGGTCCCGGCGGTCTTGCCCCGCCTGTGTGCACGGAGGCGGGCGTCTCTAGTCCAGGGGGCCTGGGGAGTGGGGCCCAGGGGCCAGCTCTCATCGCCAGTGCCCTGGGACAACATGAGGGCTGAGGGGGTGGGGAGAGGCCCCCCCCGCAGAGAACGGTGATCAGTAAAGGCCTCTGAGGCCATCGGTTCATCAGGAGGGAGGAAGGGGAAGGAACGCTGCGTGCAGGGAGCTGGGAATGCTGTCCGCTTCTGGAAAGGCTCGCACAAGAAGGTACTGACCTTCCTGGAGCCTCTCTATCTTACGGGGACCCGGAAGGCACAGAAAAAATAGTGTAATACAAGCAGTAAAACTCCACCCACTCTTCTCTACCCGCCTTTCTTCGAGACCTGCGCCAATGTTCTGCCATCAGCCCGACCCCCGCCCGGCTCCCTCCTGGGCACGCAGCGCTCTCCTGCGCTCAGCTGCTCCCAGAACGAAGGGCCTGAAGCCAAACAGAAGTCTCCCCACCTTCCCACCTTTAATGAGCACGTTGGGTGGGACTGTGTCATCCGCAGTGTCTGCCCCGTGCCTGGGAGCACAGACAGCGGTCAGAGACGTGGGGGCCCGGCACTGGGGCGCCTGGGACACACCCCGCAGGTGCCCCGTACAGACCGGAGGGAGGACATCGAAGACGCAGGGAGGGCAGGGGGCAGGTAGCCCGCAGCGTGCTCTGGGTGGCTGGACCAGGCCCCCCGCGCCGGCAGGCGTCCCCTGACAGGCTCTTTCTCCTGTCCAAAGCCAACCACCTGACAGCCCGCGCCTGGTTCCTGAATCCGAAGCCCTATAGGCACCCACAGGGACAAATTAACCAGAGCACAGAGGAATGGGTCCACGCCGAGGCTGATTTTTATGCTGAGGGGCTTCTCCCTCGGAGTCGTCTGCTGGGAGCCAGACACGCGGTGGGGTGTGGGCGGCCTGGAGGAGAGAGCGGGGCCCTGGGGGGTGCGGGGGGCCACGAGGCAGACCACAGAGGTGACACAGAGGGAGCCCCGGGGAGAGGAGGGACACCGGGGGGCTTGCCGTGCGTGGGCCTTCTTGTCCAGGCATGTGCTGGAGAGACAGATGGACGGACAGAGGTAGCAGCCGGAGCGAACGGGAAGGTGGCCCAGGGGCTGGCGTGGTGGGCGAGGCGGCTCCTCGGGACAGATGCGGTTTCATCTCTTCTAGCTCTTCAGTGGTCCACGTGCCCGGCGTGAATGACATCCAGTCGTCCTCGTCAACAGGCCAGAACATGTCCCAAATCTCCCGGCAGCTGAACCAGAGTCAGGTGGCCTGGACAGGGAGCCGGCCGCCCTTTCCCGGACAGGTATGGGCTCTGGTGAGGGAGCTGTTCCCAGGTCCAAGCGGGTCAGAGCACCCGGGACCTGCTTTCTTTGGATCCTGGCTCCGAGACAGGTTAGCGCTCTGAGCACCAATGCCCGCCCCCCTCAGAGGGACCCAGACCGTGGGGCCCCGTCTTTTCAGCAGCCTGGCCCCGCACAGCGGTGGCCTGGGAAGCCGGGGGAAGGGGCAGATCCACAGACGCTCCGTGAGGATTCCTGTGGACCTCTGTCTGCCCCAGCCAGGAGTGCGTGAGGACCCCCAGCCCCGGGACACGCGCAGCTCCCTGCTAGTCACTGTGACGTGGGTGTCCGGTGGCCCAGGGGTCTTCTCCGTGTTTGTAGTGCCCAGGGCCCCATAAGCAGAAGCCGCAGGACCCAGACCATCACCCAGACCTGCCCCAGAGACGCAGGGCCCACACGTGCTGGTCTGATGCCAGGCTTGCGCCCAGCGGGGCAGGAGGGCCGTGGGGAGTCGCCGTCAGCCACTGGGGCCGGGGGCCGGGGGCAGGGGCCTGCTGCTGACGCTTCCCTTCTCTTCACTGTGTCCGAACTGTAGCCAATCCCCTCCCAGTCCAGCAAGACTCAGTCATCTCCCTTTGGGATTGGAACGAGCCACACCTACCCAGCAGACCCCTCTTCCTACAGCCCCCTCTCCAGCCCAGCTACCTCGTCGCCCAGCGGGAATGCCTACTCCAGTCTCGCCAACAGGACTCCAGGGTTCGGTAGGTGGGGACCGAGGGAAAGAATGCCGGGAAGCCAGCAGAAACGCTTCCTGAGCATCCTGAGTTGGAGGGCCTGAGCCCCGAGCTCCCAGAACCCTGGGAGAAAGCCTAGAGGTTTCCCAGTGCCTCCAGGGCTGAGAGCTGGTGGTGTTGCTCAGAGCTGGCTGCGCGCGTCTCGGCTTTGTGGGGTGACGTGTCATTTTCAAGGCCCTAGATGATGTTCCTCGGAATGCAGTTTTAACCCTTTATGGCCCTTGGCAAGGACGTTCAGCTGCCCCACGTCCGAAACGCTATAATCTTGCTTCAAACGACCGGGTGGCCAATTAGAGAAATACATCATGTAAATAGGAGACACTGTCAAGTTCTTTCTTCCTAATATTCCAGGAGGGACCCCATCCCGTGTCAGAGCACCTGTCCCAGCTTTGTTAACAAAACCTCAGGCCATAAAGGGTTAAGTGGCCACCCCTTCTGGTGCCCGTCCCAGGGGCCTTTGCTGGCTCCTTCTGTGTGGATTTAATGGGCCGGGGCTCCCCCTCCCAGAAGGAGGGGTTGCTGAGGGGCAGTGGCCCTTCCAGCGTCCTGAGCCCATGTTCTCAGAGCGGGACCCCCTCGTGTGGCTCATGGGGCGTCTCTCTGCAGGACGGATGCTACTGCCCACAGCCTCCCCCCGCCCCCCCCCAGCCTGGGGACACAGCACTTTTTGACCTCTCACCGGCCATTCCCCATGGATGCGGCGAAGCTCCCGTTCACTCCTAGCAGGTTCTCCTGTTTGGCCTTAAACTCTCTCTGTTTTATTGTCCCCGAGTGGGCGCTCAGCCGCGTGCTGCCCTGTTTCCCGAGGGACGGGCCCCCGGCCTCTTGCTTTCCAGCCTGCCAGGCACCCAACTCAGAAACCACCGGAAGCTGGAAGCCACTGGCTCCCAGGGGAGCCCTCGCCCCCTGCAGTCTCTGCCTTGGCTTCCTCAGCCCGTGGGGGAGAGGTCCCCCCGCCTCACCCTGAAGGCGGGCCTTTGCGGACGGGAAGCCTGCAGGTATAGGCCCGGGCTCACAGAGGGGAGGAGACGGGGTCCCGGCCCAGAGGAGGTCACGGTGCAGCTGAGGCCGGAGAGACGCAGGGACACCGGGAAAGGGCAGGGGAAAGGTTCGGACACGGGGAGAGGTCAGGGGAGAGGCTCGGACACGGGGAGAGAGCAGGGGAGGCGATCAGACACGGGGAGACGGCAGGGCAGGCGCTGGGACACGGGGAGACGGCAGGGCAGGTACTCGGACACGGGGAGAGGGCAGGGGAGGCGCTTGGACACGGGGAGAGGGCAGGGGAGGCGCTCGGACACGGGGAGAGGGCAGGGGAGGCGATCGGACACGGGGAGATGGCAGGGCAGGCACTGGGACACGGGGAGAGGGCAGGGGAGGCGCTCGGACACGGGGAGAGGGCAGGGAAGGCAATCGGACACGGGGAGACGGCAGGGCAGGCGCTGGGACACGGAGAGGGCAGGGGAAAGGCTCGGACATGGGGAGAAGGCAGGGGAGGTGCTCGGACACGGGGAGACGGCAGGGCAGGCGCTGGGACACGGGGAGAGGGCAGGGGAGGCGCTCGGACACGGGGAGACGGCAGGGCAGGTGCTGGGACACGGGGAGAGGGCAGGGCAGACGCTGGGACACGGGGAGAGGGCAGGGGAGAGGCTCGGACACGGGGAGAGGGCAGGGGAGAGGCTCGGACATGGGGAGAGGCAGGGCAGCTCCGTGTGTGCAGCTGTTCAGGTCTGCCCGCGGCCGAAGGGCCACCGTTCCTACGGCGTCAGAAGAGGCTCCGAGGAGAGCTGGCGCTCGTCCCAGTAAGTCCCAGTAAGGCCAAGGAGCATCTCATTGTCTCCACAGCGGGAAAGGTGGGCGGCCCCTCCCCTCCCCTGGCAGCCTGGGCCCTTCGGCTCCGTGTGTGTGTCTGGTTCCCAGCTGGCATCTGTGGGCCCTGACGTGTAAACGGGCCTGGGGCGCGGGAAGGACAAAGCCCGGGGCTGAGGCCTGAAGAGCGGGCTCACACAGGAGGCTCCAGGCTCAGCAGCCACGTCCCTGTGGCTCCGAGCCGTCCTGCACTCACGCGATCCTAAGGATAGGTGTGACCCCAGCTGATGCTTACCGGACGCTATCTGCTCGGCCCCGGGCACGTTGAATTCCTGTAATGCTCACGGCAGCCCTGGAGGGAGATGCCTAGTTTCTCCCGTGTCACAGATAAATAAACTGAGGCATGGTGAGGTCAGATAGGTCACAGAGCGCTCCCCTCCAGACTGTGCTTGCCCCTGTTTTCTGATGCACCGTTTGGGGAGCGTTGGAATTAGGTGGGGGTTGGGTGTACCAGCGGCGTACCCCTAATGATAGGGGCTGGACCCCGTTCCGTGAGTGCACGGAGACGGTAAACAGAGGCTTCATGTGGCCTCCCCATCAGTGCCTCCCCTGTAGACCTTGACCCAGGAGCGGTACTGCAGGAGGAAGCCGTGGCCCTGGGAGGGGGGGCAGGGAGCTGGGGAGGAGCTTGGGATGGGGGACGGTCTTGATGGGCATGGGCTCCCTGAGGATAGCTGTGGTCAGTGTGGCAGGAGGCCCCAGCAGAGGCGGGGAACAGAGGTGTGGAGGGGCCCGGAGGGTAGGGTGGGCCGTGCGTGCGACGGGCGGCATGTGAAAAACAAACGGCCCCGGCTCCAGGGGTTTCCAGGGAAATGGGGTCCGTGGAGATGGGCGTTGGGGGCAGGCTTTGGTCAGGGTCAGAGAGACGAGGGTGTGCAGGTGGTGCGTGAACGAGGACGGTGCTCCCGAGCGTGGTGGGAGGGGTGCAGGGAAGACAGCAGAGGAGAAGGGGTATGTGGGGAGGAGACAGAACAGCCCCGTTAACGGTCAGGCTCCCCAGTCATGAGTAAGAACAAGCCCGTGAGCTCGCCGGCGGCCCTAATGCATGCAGCGGGCTCTCACCTTGGCCCTGTGTGGGACCTGAGTGCCCTCTGTGAGGGCGTGGCCACACGGCCGTGCCTGGGGGCCTGCTGGTCAGGCCTGGAGGGTGTGCAGGCCCCACAGCCCCTGCCCCCCACCTGCAGTACCCGGCTCAGCCAGCTGTCCCGGGCCGGATTCCAGAGCCCCGACCGCCCTGTCTCACGAGCTGGAGCTGGCAGGAGTCTGGGAGCAGTGGTGAGCTGAACGTCACCAAGTGGCGGCCCAGGTGGCCGACATCGAGGGGAAGAAGCTGTGCCTCAGTTTCCGCAGGGAATCCTCAGGATGTCTGGTGTATGGGGCTCCCTCCTTGAATGAGAAATCCGCCCCTTCTGTGAGCCACAGGCCCATTTTGCTCCCCCGGCTTCCGGGAGTCAGACCGAAGGACTCCTGCCTGTGGACGCATCCTGAGCTGCGTGACTGATGCATTTCCATTTCCAGTCTTGGTCCCGGTTTCAGCTCGCCATGGTCTTACCTCACTCGACGGGGAGCGTCCAGAAGCAGAACCGGAGCCCTTTACCGAGTGGCTATAGGTGCGGGCATTCGCTTCCTAACAAGCTGACTGGGGAAGGTGCGGCAGTCGGGGTCCAGGCTGGACGCAGACACCCACTTGAGGTTGCAGCGGGGAACGCTCAAGACAATGGTTCTTAGCTAACGTGGTTGAAGGAGCGCCCTGAGGAAGACAGCGAACGTGCGCGGCAGCTTCCAGCTCAAGCTGAGCGGGAGACCCCACCCCACAAAGCCTGAGGTCAGACCTCCCTGGAGGTGTGTCTGCCGGGGGGACACATAGCTTCGGGGCTGGGGGCTGCAGCTGGTGTGTAGCCGGACCGGAGCCCACCGGGGCCGCCGCCGCGTGGAGAGCGCCGGCAGCTGGCTGGTTTGCAGGCTCGGGGTGACGGGGTGACGGAGAAGCTCCCCGAGGAGTGAGTGCGCTGGGCATCCTGCACACGGCCGGCCGCTGCGCTCTAGACAGAAAAAGCCCTGAACCAGGAGAGAAGCCCCTTTGTTGGCTGCGCCTGCTGGTCTCTCCGGTACCTTCTATGGGCAAACCCTGACCTTGCCCACGGGCAGAGGAGACATGTTTACAGTGTCCAGTTCCTACCCCACGAGGTGGGGCGAAGAAGGATGCATGTGGAGCCAAGAGGCAGTAAACCCAAAGCGCATGGTGGGTCCGGAGACCCGAGGTCCCTGAACAGCTAGGTCTCCGTCTCTGCCACCACCGGGCATCTGCTCACCGATGCGTCCGTGTGCCTTGGGGAAATGCAGGGAGCCAGGCACGCAGGGTGCTCAGTGAAAGTGGCCCAGAGGGGCCGGGGCAGACCAGGCGTTTTTCCGTGGACTCGCCCTGGGTCTAAATGACGTCCCTGTCTGACCCGCGTGCTTCCAGACACAGCGACTGTGCAAGCAGGAGCAAGTGCGTTGCTTCCTGTGCAGCGTGCTCCCCAGTGTAGGAAGGGGCAGCTCGCACGGCCCCTTCCTGCCCGGCACGAGTCAGTGCAGGTCCACTCAGATCACAGCAGGGAACACAGACGACTCTGAGCGTGAGCATCGTTCACGAAGCTCAGGAAATGCATCCATCACATCACTGGCCTTCCTGCAAGGAGCCTCGTCCATCTGGACTCTTACTTCGGAGAGGAAGATTGAAAGAACGTGTCATTCCACAAGAGTCTGAAGACTTTTGCAGTGAGAAGTGGGATGAAAAATTCGGGGCAGGGCAGAGCAGGCACAGTGGGGGAGGGGTTAGGGTTCTGTGACCTGGAACGTTTGCAGACATCATACCCCTGAACCCCCCAGTTCCTGCCCCCAAATCTCAGCCCTGTGCATTGTTGTGTTTTTTTTTTAAGATTTTTTTATTTGACAGAGAGCATGAGCAGGGGGAGTGGCAGACAGAGAGAGAGGGAGAAGCAGGCTTCCCGCCGAGCAGGGAGCCCGACGTGGGGCTCGATCCCAGGACCCCGGGATCACGACCTGAGCCGAAGGCAGACGCTTAACCATCTGAGCCACCCAGGCGCCCCTCAGCTTGTGCATTCTTACCAGCAAGTTGAGGGAATTATAGACCTTTTCACCACTACCAGTTAATGATGAAAAATGAGGTCTTGGCCAGAAAGCATGGGAAACGTGTCCTGGGCGTGAACTACAGGAGCGTCCGCCCAGAGGCATTTCTAGAACAAGCTGCTCCTTTGGTGCTCTTTGCTGACTTTTCCATGAGGGTTTCTCAGCGTCGGCACTGTGGACATGTTGAGCCAAGTAATTCTCTGTCTTGGGAGCTACCTTGTTTGTGTGGGTATTCAGCTGCGTCCCTGGCCTCTCCCTCCCAGCACCCCTGCATTTATGACCATGAGAAATGTCTCTACACATGTCCCCTGCACAGCAGTCAGCCCTGGTTAGAACCACCGAGCTACTCCCGACCGCAGAGGACCTCTGCACAGCACTTCAAACAACCCTGCGATCCTCAGATGAAGCTCACGAGGAAAAAGGTCAGCAAGAGTGACCTTACAGCGTTGAGAGCCAATAAACTGTTTTAAAAGGAAGATGTCATCCCTTTACTCCTACAGCCTAGGAAACCACATGCTTTTCAAGATTCTGAAGTTTGGTCTGAAAGGCTACCCCTTTGGCCCCGGTGGTAGCGACCCCATACGTGCTCTACTTGGACCGCGGGGCTGGCGGGGGCCCCACGCCTTCGGCCGGGGCTATAGCAGCCTAGACTTCGCTCAGGAAGCCAGCAGAGCAAACGAAAGACGGAATGGCTGGAGCCCAGCTCGCTGTTCGTAGCCGTACATGCGGCTTCTGGAACAAGACACCAAGGATGTTGGTGACCCCTGGGGCTTTTTCCAGAAAGCGGCTTATGGCTGCATGGTGGGTGCAAACCATGTGCCTCCCCTGCTCACCATCGGTCTGGTCAGGTGGTGTGGCCCAGTGGGGCCGAGGTCTGGGCTGGGAGCACCCAGCGCTGCGTCGTCTGGGAGATGCTGTGTTGTAGTTACCGCTCATCATCGAGTGTGGAGGTCATGCATGCAGCTCAGAGGCACGGGGTTTCCATAACGGGGGCTGGAAGAAGGGCCTCCCCCGTGGTGGCCCCGCCGTGGAGGTGACGCAAGGCCTCAGCAAACAGAGTGGGTCAGGGAAGCTTGCGTCCGATGGGGCTCTGAACACGGGCAGAACCCTCTGGGCACGGGGGAGTCTGTGGCTGGGGGCAGGTGGGTCACCCGGGAAAGGGTGAGGGGGGCAGGGGTGCAAAGCAGAAGTGGGGTTATGCAGGCTCTAGGGGCCATGGCAGGCTGGACTGGTTTTAGGCAGTGGACGCTCTTTTAGGAAGGTTGTGGGGCAGCTATAGATTCAGGGAGACAGGTGCTGGCCCAGGATGGAGGGAAGCAGACAGGAGTGGAGATGTGGCGTCCGGGGCAGTGGACTGGACATGAGCGTCTGCAGCTGGGCTTTCCCCACCAGGGTGGTCTGGGGAGGGGAGATGCGGACTTCAGGCATGGGGAGCCCAGGGAGCCTCTTGGAGACTTAGCCGTGGCTCCCAGGCCCGGAGCCTAGAGAAGCAGGACTGTGCCCATCCAACAGCAGAGATGCAGATGTGTGGCCATCCGCCTCCTCCATCGGCTCCTCCCCGCCACCCCACGTTCCGGGACTCCGGCGCCGTGGGTCATGCACTCATCCCGCAGCGGCCTCCTCCTAGCTGGTTCCTTCCCTCTCTGTCCGCTCGGCCCTGGGCGGTGGTGTTCCTGAATGCACAGGTACGTGTGGCCACTCCGTGTGCCCGCGAACCCCCGCGGGTCCCTGCCACCCTCACAGTGGGGCACCCGAGCCCTGGCTTGCCCTCAGCCCGGTCACATTCGGACCCTTGTCCCCGGAACACGCCCTCCTCACCCCCACATCTTTGCACAGACCGATCCGGTGACTGCCTACGAGCCCTGCACCTGCTCAGCTGCTGACTGTCCCCCTGCTGGTGTCTCCTACCTCCCGTGACAGGCCCGGTGTCCCCCTGAGAGCTGGTGCTCTCGCCGCTCCCCCCATCACAGCGGCTCCCGCCCGTGTGGCGCTGCCTTACCCCCCACCCCCCCGTGCTGTGAGCTCCCCCGGGAGGAGCCGTCCCGCTTCCCGGCCTGGGTGCACACCTGCACCAAGCCTGACTCGGGGCCGGAGCCCAGGACCCCAGTATATGACTCGGGGGGACGACTCGGCGAGGGCCATAGCCAGAAGGAAGAGTTGAGGGAATTCGTTTCTGATGGGCAAGACCCCAGCAAGGAGTCACTGTAGCAAGTGAGGGCTGCGGGGGGGCCTCCCGCGCGGTGGTCATCCCCCCCAGGTCCGTGATGACAGTCCCCATGGTCTGCCACGCTGTCGCCTTCCGCGATGGTGACCAGGCCTGTCCACGCTGCCCTGAGCAACAGGTGGGCCGGCTTGTGCTCGGTTTCCCTGGGTGCCTGAGGCGGCCTCCTCCCTGCCTCCACCAGCCCCACTGTGCAGACCAGGCCCGTCTTAGACGTGTGGACGCCCAGACCAGCCCACGGGCGCAGTGCTTTGAAAGAGCTCCCCTGGCCTCGGTGTCTCATGAGCATTAGGAAAAGGCATTTCAGATTTCCAGATGCGTTTTTCTTAAACAGCAGAGTCCCGTGTGCACAGTCGATTTTAATCCCTCTGATGGGGGCGCAGGGAATTATGTCCTTGTCTGATTTTATGGAACCTTTTCCCAGCTGTTACCACGTGGAGTTTGGAAAGCACAGGCGTGAGGCCTTCGGGAGAACATACGTGTTTTGTTACCACCTTTCCTGTCTCTAGCAGTATGTTAGATATGTGCGCATGTGGGAGAGACAGATAGGGAGACGGGGACAGAGGGAGAGGCTGGGGTTCTCCCTGAACACTTAGCAGCCTCAGCTCCGTGAGCATGGCCATTGGGAAGAGCAAGATGGGGCCTGGTCTGCGCCCAGAGCCTGACAGAGCTCACTGCCTCCCAAATGCTGTTGAGTGGTTCGGAACAAGAAAGAACGTTCCTGAGCTTTCCTTGATGTGCCTCCAGGTAACTCATTCTCTTGGGTTGAATCTTTAAAATGTCTTAGACAAATTTCTGCTCATTTTTTCTACTTGGTTTCTCCGTTGTGTATTCTTTGTAAAGCGTAGGAGACAAGGTTGCGCTCCGTACGCATTAACGTGCTGATTCCTACGATGAGGCGCGTTCCTTCGTGTCTGAGCCGGGCCCCGCTGCCTCTGCTCTCAAGCCACCCGGTGCTGAGACACTCAGAGGCGAGAGGAGGGGCCGTGGCTCCGGGCGCCTGCGGGAGGACCTCGTGGGATGCCACGTGTGGCCTCACCAAGTTCCCCGAAACCCGGTGAGGTTGGCGGAGCTCAGGGCCCGCTGAGGTCAGCTCCTCTGGCAGAGTCAGGCTCCCGTAAAGAGCAGGCTCGGGACGAGGGGTCTGGAGTGGCAGGGAGGCTTTCCCTCCTCGGGCCCGCAAGCGTGCCGCAGGGGGGCTTGTGTCAGCCCGTGCTCTGGGCCCCCCACACACGCCCCCGCCGAAGCTCCACGTGCCGTCGCCCAGGGCCCCGCGGGCTCCGAGGCTTAAAGCCCCCGGCCCCCCGGCAGGTGCGCTGGGGAGAGCCGCCCTCCAGCGAGGGCCGGCGCCCTGGCAGAGAGCCCCACTTCCGTCCCACCCGCCCAGCCACGTGGTGCAGAAGGGACTCGTAGCCTGTCGGCCCGTGAGAGCGCGCGGGGGGCCGCGGACACGGGTGCCCGGCCAGCTACAACGGAGCGTGCCGATGGGCAGAGTGGGGCGCTCTGGGCTGCAGTGGCTCTTAGGTCTCCCGGAGCCACGACGAGGCTTTTAAAGGCGGTGTCCTGTACGTCGGATCTTTCAGCTGAAAGTGGCCAGAGTAGCGGGCAGTTCCCAGGGCGGCCGTCGGAAGTCTGGTCACAGTGGCAAAGCCAGCACCACGGCCCGCAGAGCGGTGAGCAGCACTCCCACCAGCAGTCCGGTCAGGCCGAAGTGTTCCAGGTAAATCGAGCCAGCACAGCCTTCTCGTAGGTACCGGCGCCTTCTCTCTGCTTCCTTTCCCCTCGCTCTCTGCTGCAGCCCCAGCTGTTCGTAGGGATCGGGTTCTGGCCCAGCCTGGGGAGCGGGGCCGGGAGCCGAGGCCTCAGCTGTCCTCCCTGCTTGAGGACACCTGCGCCCCCCACAGCTGTCCGTTGTTGGAGACCCTCCCGGCCATCCCTCGTGATGGGCAGCCTGACCTAGCTGTGCAACGGGAGGGGACCCCATGACAGTCCCGCAGGGCAGTGCTCGGGCCCCTCGGGGTTTCCCTGGCCCCATCTTCGGAAAGAAGTTTCCATTGGAAGAAGGTTCCAGAGGGAGGCATGAGCCTGTTGACTCCCCCTGAGCCAAGCGCTTGGCCGGTCCCACCAGGCCCGCGTGAGGGAGAAGGACCTCCCACAAGGGCTGAGGCACCCCCCCCCCCCCCCACTGCATCCCCGTCCCCATCATGCCCACAGCTCCAGGTCCGCCTTGCCAAGCAAGGATGGGTAGGAGGCACATGGAGGGAGGGTTGGAGGCCTCCCAGTTGGTAACCCCCACCTTCCCCAGGGAGCGTCCGCTCTCTTTGTCCCCAGCACCTTTCCCACCTGGCCAAGCAACATCTTCGCAGGCGAAGGTCTAAAACCAGATGTCCCTCTAGGGCTCCAGAGGGACAGTATTCTGACCTCCTTCCTCCATCCTTATGCCTCACAGCCGTGTGTAAGGCAGACTTCCCCAACCTGATTTTTCATGGTCACGAGGCTAAGAATTCTTGGTCAGATTAAGCAAATTATTCAGTGTCTTGCCTGCAGGGCTTATCAGAACCTTATTATACTAATAAGCACTGAGGATTTTTAGGAGGTAGACAGACTATGCCATTTCCCAAACTCCCTTGTCCACAGAATTCTTTTCTCCCAGAGTATCTCATGGGCCAAGAATCTGACAGAACACACTTTGAGAAATTTGCCATTGAAATATTGCTCTTCCCATTTTCTGGATGGGCAGTCTGAGGCCCACAGAACCTGAAGGGCTTGCTAAAAGTGAAGCCTGACCACACAGGGATTTGGCCCTGCCCTCAGAATGCACACAGCCTTCCTTGTGCTCAACCTGGCACCGAGTTTCTATTGCATTTTGAGCATCGACCATTTGTCCCTTGCTTGGTGCCCGGCTAGATTCACCACACTGGTGGGGTTCTTGTCCACCCTGTGTCTTGGCTCAGCCTCACACAGCCAGAGCTTATGTCCTGAGGTTGTGTTGACCTGCTGGGATGCCACTTCCCCGGGGAGAGCAGCTTCCCCGCTCTGGACATTTGAGGACCCCTGAGATTGTCCCCCAGAGACAGACTGTCCCCGGGCTGCCTCCAAGGGGGATGAGCATGAGGGGGCGTGGCAGGCTGGGCTCCTGGGGCACGCGGGTGCCCAGGAGGATGAGCTGATGCCCCCACGGCTTTCTCTTCTGCCCCCCTGCAGGACATGCTGCCCATGCCCGGAGATCCGACCCAGGGGACCGGCAACTATAACATTGAAGACTTCGCGGACCTGGGCATGTTCCCGCCGTTTTCTGAGTAGTGGCAGGCAGATTGCGGCCGGCGCTGGGCAGTGCCCCCCACGCGGGCAGGACCCCCCCACGCCCTGCTTGCCCCGCCTGCCCCGCCACAGGACCCCCCAGCGGAAGGCCTCTAACCCCCATGCTCCCCCCAGCACAGCATTGCTCAGCCTGCAGCCGGGGCTTCCCGGCCACCCACCAGGAGCCCTGGTGGATACTGGGGAGCTGCTGTATTTATTGTACTCTTATCTGTGTATGCTTGGGAGGTGAGCCCATCGGGTCCTGGAGGTCTGGTTGTGAATAATCTCATAGCAGACATAAAACGTCCGGTCCCAGTCCCAAGTGCCCAGGCCTGCCCAGGACACGGGAATGGGTTTCTTCTTGCCTTTGACATCTGTGGATGGGTGGGGCTCGGGTGCTGGAAGGGAGGCGAGCAGGATGCATGGCCTTTGTTCTCCAAGCTGGGACCCAGAGGTGGACCCCGCTCCCCGTTCCCAGCTCAGCCAAGTCTGTGTGTGCGTCCGTCCGTCCATCATGCTGTGGGATGTGTGTACTCTGTGCGGTGTGATGTGAATCCCTGTCCTGATGGGTGTGCTGTGCCCCGTACGTGTCGTGTGGCCAGAGTGAGCGTCCAGAATCCAGGGGCCCCCGCGTGCAGCCCCTACCCCCAGCGCAGCACCCCCTGGCTGGAGGGAGCTTGGCCCAGGGCCTGGGCGCCGGGCTGGACGGAGCAGGCTGACGTTTCATAGTGTCGCCAGGAGTCGTGGCTGGGAACCTGCTTGCCTTCATGGGTCAGCTCCCGGGTCCAGGCGCCCCTCTGAGAGGAAGCAGCCCCCTCCTCTTCCAGGAGGCCCCCGAGGGAGCACTGGCCCTTCCTGGTTACGCGCAGGTGTCTCCCCCCTGGTTCCCAGCCAGCGCCTGCCAAGGGCACACCTTGTGGTCACAGAGCCCGAGGCCCTTCTGCAGAGGACTGGACGGGAAGGCAGGACGTCCGGGCCTCGGCGGCCACATTACGCTCAGCAGCTCTGGAGCCGGTTCAGGTGTGGTCCCGTGCGTGGAGACAGGAGTTCAGAAACATCTCCCACCAGGCTGCCTGGCCTTCCTTCTGCAGCCACCGGGGGCAGAGTGCAGGTCTGTGAGGCAGAAGGCTGGGCTTCCCGTTCTGATTCTGGTATGCACTCACCGGGGCCTTGAATTCCTCAGATGGCCTCGAGACGGGAGGAAGAGCTGCCTTCCAGAAGCTTCTGCCTGGCTGAGCCCATGGTCCCTGGCTTGCTGTGTTTCCCTCTATTCAGTGGCCTCACGGCCCCCGTGCCCCGTGCCCTGAGGCAGGCTCTCCGCCTCTCGTCTCTGTCTTTTCCTGACAGCCAGGCTTCCGTGTGGCCTCACCGTCCATGGGCTCGCTGCCTCCCATGTGGGAGGAACGCTACACTCGCGGCCCGGCAGGTGGAGGAGCCCGCCCCCAGGACAGCCCTGCATCTCTCCCGGGGTCCCTCAGGCAGACCTCCTCAGGCACCCGGCTCAGAAACAACCCGGGTGCCCCCCACCCCCAGGATTTCGGAGGGCCAGCCGAGTGCGGAGGGTTCTGAGCTGCCTGAGGGCGGAGTGAGCCCAGCGGGCAGGAAGGAGCGGGGGGGTGGGGTGGGGGGTTTCATGTTTGTTTCTTCCTTGTTTCCTGGAGAGAACCGGGGATTTCCTTAGATGTGTCCATCAGGTTGACACTGTGACCCGGGGCTGCGCTGGACACCGAGGGGATGCGGACCAGGGGAACAAGCCTTGTAGCCACTCTGTCTGTTGGGGTGCAGACCACTCAGGGCTCGGTCCTGGAAGGCAGGGACCGTCGGTGACTGAGGCCGGGCGTGATGGGGAGTACCGTGACTCGGGCGGCCCGGCCCCCTTCCTTCCGGCTCTGTCCCAGGAGCCTCGACAGGGAGGCCCACGGCAGTCCGATCGGCCTGCAGGAGCGCTCTGTCCTCTCGACTCCCCATCCTAGTCCTTGGTTGTCATTCTTGGAGGCCATCCCGTGACCAGTAAGCAAACAGACAGGACCGGAAGGATCTCTGACCCAAGAGATGCACCCCCCACCCCGAGGAATCTTGCGCCAGACCGGAATAAGAGTCAAAACCCAGAGGGTCTCATCCCAGTTTGGAGGAGCGCGTCCTGTGCCAGGCCTGCGCAGCCAAGAGGGGACTGTGAGTGGACCCTCTGTTGGCCCGGCGTCCAGCCAGGCCCCGCCCAGACTCCTCTCCCAGCTTGGCCGGGACGCACTCCCTCACTCACACCCCCCTCCTTGGGCCCGGCAGGCCGGCCTTCCACAGAACAGGCCGGAGCCTTGGGGGAGGACACGAGGCAGCCACTTTGAGGCTCACACAAGACGTGGCTGGTGACGGTGGCTGTGGCCGAGGAGGTTCTAGAACATTCTGCCCACGTATCCCTCCCACGAGTTTTGTTTTTAGCTGTGGTTTCAGGGAGTGATCGAGCCATCGCAAACAGCCGCGTTCTCTTCCGCTTCCCGATACATTAAACCCACCCCCTTTGCTGTTTCGTGAATACCTTGTGGAGAACGGGAGCGTGCTGAGAGTTGATAGAACTGCCGTCAGGGAGCTCGGACCTTCAGCCAGTAAGGAAACCGTATCTCCCCCCAGACCAGCCACACGTGACCGTGACCTCCCATCCACGTCTGCCAGCCTTAGCCAAGAGCTGGGACGGGCCCTGGGGAAATGAGTGCTGGCCTCAACCTTGTACATCAGCCCGTGGGAGCAGCTGAGCTCTGCGGGGACCGTGACCTCCACCCACCTGCGCCCACCTGCTCCCTGCCAGCTATGACCTGTCGCCTAGCCAGACCAGTCCAAGCCCTAGTGAGTCACGAGTCAGGACACAAGTGGTCCTGGTCGTACCGGAAACTAGGGGTCTGGTCATCACTTGCCAGGGGCCCATTCCCTCCTCCCTCCAGCCAGTCCTCGTGTGGAGTGTGGTAAGGGGGCCGCTCCCCCTTTCCCTCGACTGCAAGGGTCTGGGACAACCTGAGAGGCACCCGCCATGGTGCCGGCAGCCATTCATGGAGAGAGCTGCCTGGGTCTTGTGGCCAAAGCTGGTTTTGTGGTCCAGCAACCAGCCAAAGCCTGTGTGGGGGCACTGACCGGGAAGGGAGAGGCTGTGCCAGACGCGGGGCGACTGGCTCCCCGGGACAGCCTCGTTCTCCTTCGGAGGTGACAGGCTTCCGTGGACAATGTAAGCACCTCATCATTTCCCCTGTAGCCTTTCTTCGTATGGCCGTGAGCTGTGCTGTGGATAAATCATCATTTGTATTTCTTGAATGTTCTCTAGGACTAACAGTTATTGAGTTGGTTGTGTATATGTGTAACTAATGTAACTGCCTTTTAAAATTCCATTACAATAAAAATGACTTTGCTCTGAACGGTGAACAGCGCAGGCCAGCTTCGTGATTGAGTGGTTCAGGGAACCTTCTCTTGGACTTTGGGATGTATCTGGGATCACGCCTCTTCCTAAGGGCTGTGTTATATCTCTCACTGCCGGCTAAGAGCGGAGAGTCCCTAGGTGCTAAAGAGGGGCCCTTCTGGGGGTCTAGCTACATAGAAGAGGAAGGTGCTTGCCCTTGTCTATCAGGCAAAGCTCTCTAGAAGGCTCTCTGCGTGCTGTATTTGTGAATCATGACAAACCTGGGCTATGTGGTTATTAGTCCCAGTTTATAGATTATGAGACAGGACTCGAGAAGTTAAGTGACTTATTTAAGAACTGACAGGAAGGAACTGGCAGAACCAGGATTTGATCTCAAATCCTCACTCCAAACCCTTTATCTATTGTTTTCTTCAAACACTCTTTTTATTTCTTTTTTAAAATTCTCCCAAACATTAGTGTTTTAATATGCTCAAGCCTCTAGTAAATACTTACAAATTCTAACCATTCTCTGTTGAGAGATGACTATTTGGAGTCTAGCAAAATGGCAGGCTGAAATAATTTAAACACTTTTCCATCAAACATCTGGTGTCCCTTTTTTTTTTTTACAGCTTTATTGAGCTATTATTGATATAAAATAAACTGCATATATTTAAAACATACATTGGGGGGAAATTTTTGTGACCTTGAGTTAGGCATAGATTTCTTAGATACTCCACCTAAAGCATGATCTATAAAGGAATGAAATTACAAATTGAACTTCATAAAAAAAATTCAAAACTTTGCTTTTCAAGGATGCTGTTAGCAGGATGAAAAGATCCACCGTCGACTGGGAGAAAACATTTGTGAGCCGTGTATCTGGCAAAGGACTTGTATCCAAAATATGTAAAGAACGCTTACAACTCAATAAACAAGTTAGGACAAAAGAGGCAAAAAATCTGAACAGACACTTCACCAAAGAAGACACAAAGTGGGAAATAAACACATGAAAACATGGTTGGGATCGTCAGCCATCAGGGAAATGCACATTTTAATTCCACTAGCCATTAGAATGTTTCAACATTTAAACAGACTGATACAGCAAGTCTTGTCCAGCATGTGGAGCGCCTAGACACCCCCACAGTCCCTTTGCATAACAGTTAGGCAGCTTCTTAGAAAGTTAAGCACACATGCACCATAAGACCTAGTCTTTCCACATCTAGGTATTTATTTGCCCAGCGGAAATGAAAACGTGTTTCTCCACAAAGACTTCAGTGGGAATGTTGTAACCACCAAGAGCCAGAAACAATCTAAATGTCCATCGGAAGGTGAGTGGGCAAATCGTGGTATATCCACACAATGAACACTACTCAGCAATGGAAGGGAACAAAGACAAAATGTGGATACAAGCGATGATAAGATAGATCTCAAAAACATCATGCCGAGCAAAAGAAGCCAGGCACAAAGGCACCACATGATTCCATGTATACGAAATTCCAGGTAAGAACTAGCTAATCAGCAGGACAGGAAGCAGGTCCGTGGTTCTGGGGCTGGAGGGGAGGAGAAAGGAAGAGGGGATGGGAAGGTTCTAGATTTGATGGGTGGTCACAAAAGTGTATACAAATGACAGAACTCATCAAACTCTTCACTGAAGATGGGTCCTTTAAGTTACAGTATGTATAAATTCTATCCAAATTAAGTTGATAGGAAAACAATCGCAGGAGAGTTTTTTTGTGCGATTTGACAAGGTAATCCAAAATTTCCTATGGAACTAAAGAGAAATCATACCCAATACATTTAATTGAAGGAGATATTTAAAGAAGAGAAGGAGGAAGAGGAAGAAAATGAGAAAAATGGAGCATTCAGCCTTCTAGACACGTGGAAGCTTTGTGATGAGAAGCATGGATCTAGAACACTAGCTCAGGGGAATACAGCAAAGAACCTAGGAAGACACACACGTTCGGAAGGGAGATTGTCCTTTGGGAGAGCCAGCATCACAAGTCACAGGGACCAGGTGGGCTACCAGTCAATGGTGGCAAATGGCAGGAAAAGAAGACATTTGATTCTTATCTTACCCAAGATACAAAATACAGTACACAAAAAATACACTCCACAGAGATGAAAATATCTGAATGTTAAAAAGTGATGTATGTAAGGGGCGCCTGGGTGGCTCAGTCGTTAAGCGTCTGCCTTCGGCTCAGGTCATGATCCCAGGGTCCTGGGATCGAGCCCAGCATCGGGCTCCCTGCTCCGCGGGAAGCCTGCTTCTCCCTCTCCCGCTCCCCTTGCTTGTGTTCCCTCTCTCGCTGTGTCTCTCTCTGTCAAATAAATAAATAAAAATCTTTTTTAAAAAAAAAGTGATGTATGTAAAACATTTAGGAAAAAAAAATAACAGGAAACTATATTTATGGAATCAAATCCAGGAAGGATTTCTCACACCAGGCGTGAAGACCACAAACCCTACAGTAAAATACTGATGTGTTTGAACTCACTGAAAAATACTCAGCTTAAAAATATGTAAAAAGACAATGGATAAGTTGGTAGGAAATATTTGCAATTTATATTGTATATGCCCAACAAAATGGTATTGGCACAGAGTATTCAAAACATATGAATGATTCATTAAAACCAATGAGAAAAATACAACTTAACAGATACACGGCGAAAGCGTTAGAACTGTCAATTCATAAAATTCAAATGGCATTAAACATATCAGGAGGGGCTGGACCTCCCTAGTAATTCAGGGAAATGCACAACTGAAACAAGATAACAATGTCCTTGGATTCCCTGAGTCTGATAAACACGGTTGTTATTGAGGATATGGGGAAACAGGGACCCTCGCTGATGGGAAGCGGGCCGGATGCTCTGGAGAGTTAGGTAACCCTGCAGGTCAGGGATGTACAGGACCCCTGACTCAGCAACCCCAACTCCAAGCCCTGTCCTAGGAAGCCTCCTACACGAGCACAAGAGGACAGTGAAGAGGAGATCTGTCGTGCCGTGTGTAGCAGTGAAAAGTGAGAAACATCTAACCGTCCCTCGGTGGAGACAGGAATAAACTCATTTAGTCACACAAAGGAATACAAGGCAGCGCATAAGGGGGTCTTGTTGCAGCATGCAAAAATTCTAAAACTAGGGTACTGAATTTAAAATACTGTTCATAGGGGCACCTGAGTGGCTCAGTCGTTGAGCGTCTGCCTTCAGCTCAGGTCATGATCCCAGGGTCCTGGGATCGAGCCCTGCGTCGGGCTCCCTGCTCAGCGGGAAGCCTGCTTCTCCCTCTCCCACTCTGGCTGCTTGTGTTCCCTCTCTCCCTGTGTCTCTCTCTGTCAAACAAATAAATAAAAAATAAATAAAAAACAAATAAAAAAATAAAATACTGTTCATATTTTTTTTTTTAAGATTTTATCTATTTATTTGAGAAGAATGAGATAGAGAGAGAGAGCATGAGAGGGAGGAGGGTCAGAGGGAGAAGCAGACTCCCTGCCGAGCAGGGAGCCCGATGCGGGACTCGATCCCGGGACTCCAGGACCATGACCTGAGCCGAAGGCAGTCGCTTAACCAACTGAGCCACCCAGGCGCCCTGTTCATATTTTTATAGGTCAGGGCAATCACCTATTTTGTTAGGTGTTAGATAAGTTGTTAGAGTTTGAAAAAAAGAGTCTCATGGACCGACCAACAGGTACAACTCTGGATAGAGAGGTGAAGAGATGTAAGGTTTGTGTGGCTGAGTTCCTTCAGATTAAGAAAGAAGAGAGGGAGGGGTGTGTGGATCAAAAGTAAAGGGGGGGCGCCTGGGTGGCTCAGTCGTTAAGCGTCTACCTTCGGCTCAGGTCATGTTCCCAGGGTCCCAGGATGGAGCCCCGCATCGGGCTCCCTGCTCGGCCGGGAGCCTGCTTCTCCCTCTCCCACTCCCCCTGCTTGTGTTCCCTCTCTCGCTGTGTCTCTCTCTGTCAAATAAATAAATAAAATCTTTAAAAAAAAAAAAAAAGTAAAGGGAAGAATTAGGGCAAAACCAACAGCTGGTCTCATCTTGGCGCTGAGCAGAGAGGAGTATGTTTCCCTTCTCTCAAGTTCGCTGTGTTCTGGAAATATTTAATAATTGCACATAAATCAGCAAGTGAGAAAGCAGCTATTTAATCTCACCAAGTAGTCAGGGAAACGTGAATTGAAGTAACAATGAGACAACATTTCTCGCCCCCCGCCCCCCAGCCCGTGGACTGCCGAAAGCACCCAAGAGTACTCACACCCATCACGGATGCACGTGCAAGAATTTTCTGACATACTTTTGGTAGAAATGTACATTTTCACAACTTAACTTTGAGTGACGATATCTTTTCATTGAAAATAAACATGTCTTGGACCCAGGCATCTCCATTCTAGACATGCCTCCCGGCGAGATAAGAGCCTTGAAGTATGCAGGTGTAGGTGTGCGAGCGTGCATGGCCACAGTATTCCGCGGCGGAGAACAAGTGTGGACTGAGGCAAAGCCCGCTAATCGAGGAATGAATGAATACACTGGAAAACGTCCTTTCATTAAATGTTACATAGCGTCACCTCCGTGTGCGAACAAATACAAAGCAATCCCACTTCAGGCCTGACAGCTGTGAGCCTGTTTCTCGCCCAAACTCTCCCCCGCGTGTCCTCAGGCCACCTGCGAGGCAGGGGGCTGGGGCTCCACAGGGAAGACATGCTCCCCCCACCCCATGGAAACCCCGTTCCTGGGAGAGAGGCAAGCGGACAGAATATGACATTCCAGAATGTGCGAAGGGTTTGGGTATAGAGGACCCCCACCCCGCACCAACACAGGTGGGGAGGGGCCGAATAGCAGGAAGGGTGTGCTGAGCTTGGCTTAACCAACAGGTCCCAGCTGGGGCCCATCAGCAACGCAGCCTTCCCCCTGGGAGCCCAGCTTGGGGGTCCAGACGACACTTAACGGGTTCCCATCTCCCAGCCCAAGTCCCTTACAAATCCCGAAGTAGGTATGCCCGCCCCTCAGCCGGACAGCGGCTGGAAAGGACTGGAACGCCGC